GAAGAAGGAAATGAAGGTAGGTTATAATATGGTTTCTCATTCTTGTGTTTCATTCTTGTGTTTCATTCTTGTGTTTCATTCTTGTGTTAGTCACATCAACTTAACAAATCTCGCTATATATTTGCAGCGTATCAAACATACGGCATGGAAGTCTGCAATGTCGTGAAGATCCATCGAGCTTTCTTCTTTTGAACTTATTTATCAATTTTGGAGTCTCATTAATTGAAGAAGAAACACAGAATCATTCACTCTTGGCTACAAAACTTTTACTGAAACAAGATTATGAAATTGTTATGTAGAGTAGAGAGATTATTTGTTCTTGATGTAGTGAGAGTGAAGTTCTTCAGAGATGTTGTCATCATCGTCGTCTTTGATCCAGACGAAATCTTCTAATCCATCATAAATCTCCTCGACTGCGTATGCATTTTTCTTGGGTACTTGTTTGGATGATGTAGAGAAAGCGTTCTTTATTCCCTTAATCAGTCTTTTTCCGATACTTTTCTGCGGTTGCGGTTGCTGTGGAGATGCTCTTCTTCGCCGGTAAGTCGTGCTCAGGTTTGAAACCGAACCTCTATCGCCTCTCAGCGTCTTGTTTAAGTTACTCGGTTGGTGAACGCAATGGAAACTCGCAGATCGAGCAGAATCCATCACATTTCTTGACCTCGACTCGATGATGATCCGGTCTGATTTCTGCTTCTCCGATTCTTTCGATAAGAATTTCTTCATCGCGTCTAGCTCTTTCTCCAAGCTCTCAATCCTCGAGCTTGTGGAATTCATCGCAGCTCTGAGCCGACAGTTTTGCCGCGCCGCGGTATCTCGCTGGAGAAGCGATCCAAGCGTAACGGAGGAGTCTCTCGCCGCTGCAGCAATATCCCGGTGTCGGTCACCAACAGGAGCAGCGGATGCGACGGCAGCAGCTGCCATAATCGAGTGGCGAGTGTTGAGCTGCTCTTGTAGCATCGCCCGAACTATAAACCTCAGGGGCATTTTCGGGTTTTGAACAGCGTGAAGTAGTAACGGAGGCGAGAGTTTGTCACAGTCTATCGAATTACATATCTGAACCTTCTCTTCCTCCGTTATCTCTCCGTCATGTTCCTGCAAAAAATTCAAAATATTCAAACCAATCATAAGACGACACGTAACAAAATCAGTTTAGACAATTCGAAATGACCAAACTACCCTTTTACCTTCACATAAGCATCAACGATTCTATAGAGCAAATCGTGACGCGGGAACCGCTGCTGCACGGCGTCGGCGACGACGCTAAAATCGCCGGCGGGAAGTCTAACAGCTTCCTCGAGAAACTCGTTGACACAGTCACCGTCTCCAATTTCCATCAAAGCTTCTACGCATCGTCCGATTAAAAACGCCGTCGTTTCAGACTCCGGAAGCAGAAGAAGGCACGAACGGAGAACGATCTGGATATAGTCAACGCTGACGAAGACGACTCGTCGGAGATAAGACTCTGTTAAGTTTCTCAGACTCTCTCTTCCTCCGTCGTCAGCTTCCGTCATCAGAAGAATCTCGACGGCGATTCTCAACGAAACGACATTGAACGGCGTTAACTCAATGTGAGCGCCGTAACAGAAACCGGCAACTAACGAAAACGTTTCAGCCGTTATGTTTAACGGCGGTGAGAGAGTTAATTCGTTAACGCCCGTTAGGTAGCGTTTTAAATAGCCACTCTTTGACAGAGGATCCTATGGAATACAATAAAAACATCACATAATGACATAAACATAACCTCCCAATAAAAACCAAACCTTTTTGCTTGTTTTGTAATAAATGTGTAATTTTTTTAATTTATAACATATACTACAATTAAAAAAATCAAATAAAAATACCATAACTTTGTTAAAAATCGTTGAATATTTTTTGATGAAAATTGAAAAATGTCTGAATTTGGCAAATAAAAGTTTGAAAAATATGTAACCTTGTGAAGATGGAACCTTGTGCCTCCCACATTTACGAACACATCAGGTTTAGAGTTATTAGCCAACGACCTGAATAAAAATATAGAAAAACATCCAAAAAAAAGAGAAATTATAATGTGGTAAAGGTTTACCTACCAAAAAAAAAAGGTAAAGATTTGGAAAATTTCTAAGAGAAACATTACCATTTATGGACTCGAGATTCAAGCTCCATTGAAGGAGAAGAAGAGAGATTGATACGTTGTTTCGGAGAAGGAGACAAAGATGAAGAAGAATAAGATAAAGAAGAAGAGTGATCTACGTAGTCTTCGTCTTCATAAATCGTATCAACAAACCCTAAGTTTGTCCATCGCTTCATGTTTTTTTTTTTTTTAGAGAGAGGAGATAAAAAAGAATGAGAATATTTTGTGTGAGTTTTGAGAAGATTCGAATTCGCCGGTTAGGTTTTTAGAGAGTATAAAGAAGAAGCAGAGAAGGAAATTTTGGACAGTGAATTGGCAATAAATGTGAGTAATATGGGAAATAAATGAATTTAAGAGGATTTGTTGTGATCGTTATTATATGCGTGAAAGTCTTTAAATGCGTTTTCCTTTTTTCTTCACCATAAACCTTCTATTTCATACAGAGGGACCACGTCCCACATGTTCTCCAAAATGTACATTCGTTCTAACATTCAAAATTTCACGAGAATTCAATTAGGTTTAAATTGAGCTTAATTTGTTGTGTATATATAGTACTAGTGCAAGTTTTGATTGGTTTTTTCTTTACTAAATTGGCATTCTTGTCTTTGTCGTAAGAAACATGGATTGTTTATATCAATTTGTTTGCACAAACCACCATAGGAAAATTAGTTTGATCGGCCAGTTTAATACAAAGTCCACTTCCTATGATACTGATCATTTATTTCATAATTTGGTATCCCCTCTAATTAAAAACTTTTGGAGTTCTTTTATGTACAACGTAACATCATTATTTTCCTAGAAATTATTTTTAATTTGCACACATGGGTCTCTTAATAACTTAAACCAGGATGAGGTAACTAAACCAGAACCTCTTGGTCACCAAAAAATTGGAGAGTCTTGGAAGTCCTTGTGAACACATTGTCAATGGGCTCAAAGATGTATGAGTTTCGCCCTGAACTTTTCTCTCGAAAATAAAAAATTTGCAGTAATTGATTCACCTATATCACATCATAGTTATGACTATCTAATATATCATATAAAAAATTCTGACATAATTTTTTTGGTTAAATCAACACTGACATCCAAACTTTATGTATTTCCACAAAAACGTCTAAATTGCATGATACATAACTTCTCTAAATTGCATGATACAACTAGCCAGTTACATAGATGAGAGAATAAGAGATACCAACTAATTGACTTTTACTGGGCCAGAAATGTAGTTACAGGCCCACTATAAAACCCTCAAAAGCAAAATCTAAAACAGGCCCAAGCCCATACATAAGAAAAGCCCTAATTTATCAAGTAAACCTAGCTCCACTCAAAACCTAACTATATAAGCTTCACACACACTCATAATCTCTTCCTCATCCCCTCAAAAAAACCCTAAAGAGAAGACTCTCTCTCAATCCCGGCGGCGAAGATGAAGTACAATCCAAGAGTGACCTCTTCTCGCAGGAAGAACAGGAAAGCTCATTTCACAGCTTCCTCAAGCGAGAGGCGTGTGATAATGAGCTCTCCTCTCTCCACCGATCTTCGTCAGAAGTACAATGTCAGATCCATGCCGATCCGTAAAGACGACGAGGTTCAGATCGTTCGTGGTACTTACAAGGGTCGTGAAGGTAAAGTTGTTCAGGTTTACCGTCGCAAATGGGTGATTCACATCGAGAGGATTACAAGAGAGAAGGTGAATGGAACAACTGTGAACGTTGGGATTCAGCCGTCGAAAGTTGTGATAACGAAGCTTCGTCTTGATAAAGATAGGAAATCGCTTTTGGAGAGGAAGGCTAAGGGTCGTGCTGCTGCTGATAAGGAGAAGGGTACTAAGTTTACTTCTGAGGATGTTATGCAGAATGTTGATTAAGTGAGGAAGAAGGAAGAAGGAATCTTCTTGAAAGGTTTTATCTTTTAGAGTTATGCTTTTTATTTTCAAGTTTTGGATATTTCGAATGTTGTCACTGGATCTTTATGGTGTTGGACATGAGAACGTATGTTTTGATTTCGAATATTTGAAGTTTTATTATGGAGTTTGTCTCTTTGCTCATTTTGGTATTTGTTTAACTCTGTTTGGTTAAGGTTTTGAGTCTGTGTTGAATGTGTGTTGAGATTGATGTTGAAGCTCGTGATTTGATATAGGAGTCGTGCGTTTATGAGTGTATTGCTATAGATTTGATGACTTAGCTGAAATGATTTTCTTAGATTGGTGGTGATCTTGGTTTAGGCTGTTTAGTTTTTTGATAGTGGAAGTTCCATTTTTCGATAGTTGTTTTCATTTGTAACATATTGGAATGACGAATTTGTGTGTTTGAAACATAATCATTTTATCATACCATTCATTTCGGCTCTTGTCACTCTTTGAAATTGACACTCTTTGAAAATCTGTGTGGTGTAGTATTGTTGTTTGTAGTTTAGGTTTTAGTTTGAAATTGGAAGAGCCATCTTTGTATGTGATTTTCATTTGTAATTTTGGTTTGGCATACAACTGTGGATTTAAAAGAATCATTTTGAGACTAGTTCTTTCTCATTTCCTTAAAACGAACAGACGTCTCCTCGAGTAAAGGAGATAGAAAATTCTACCCATTGATTGTGTCAAAACTAAAACAAACAAATCTTACAAAACAATTAACCGATTGAGGAGTTTTTAAGAACACCCGTGGTTGTTTATGAATGAGTACAAGAGTCTGGCTGAATCTGCCAATGTTGGTAAAATCCGGCCTTTAACGAATATTTTGAAGTGTATCTTATGACTGAAACGAATTCCGGTTGTAATTCTATTTAAACACCGTCTTTGTTTGTTTCTCGTAGGCAAATAAAAAACAAAAACTCCCATCAGAAAAGAATAATAAAACTGTTTCCACTAAAGTGAGCCTAAAAAAAAAAACAAATCCGAAAAAGAATTATCCGACAGTAGGATATTACCTGAGGGATCCATTTTTCAAAACAACGAACTCAACTCTAAACAATGTCATAGAAGAGAAAAAAGGGTAGTCTCCATTGTTAAACCAAATACAAATGGTATGGGTAGCTCTTCAAGGTTTAAGGGCAAGAGAGAGACCAAACCTTGGGTACTTGTCTAATGTCTTGGTATCAATCTCACCTGAGATGGTCACTATCGATTTTGGAAGGACCTCATGTTGCAGAACAGCTCCAAGCTTACCGTTACTGTTCAGCTTAGCTTTAACATTCGTCAAGTGATCAACCGCATACAATCCACCAACAGTTACTGTGTTCTCATTAGTTGAGATTTTCCTGACAACCTCTCCAACTGCCGCGCTTCTCTTCGACTCATTTAGGTGATAAAGATATGAAGCTTTGATCGAATCGCCTTTATCTCCCCTGAAATTTTCCAAGAAAAGATTCAGTTAATACAAATTAAGCTTAGATAGAACTTTGATTAAATAAGAGCTTCTTTGTCTTACAATATTATGGAGGCACATCGATCTGGCTTTGTGACACTGATTCCGACGTTGTACTTTGTGAAAGTACGAGATGTGGTGTCATACCCAGCTTCAGCACCAAATGAGATAGTTGGTGAGCCAAGAGTGGCTGTTACATCAATTAGAGGGTTTTGTTGTAAGGCTGCAGCGGCTGTAACTGTTGCGTGATCATGGAAATATTGGACTTCCAGCTATAAATCATAGTTGAGTTTGAATTCAGAAGGCTGAAAAAAATCATTATAGGTATATCTAGCTTAAAGAATTCCAAAAAAAGTAAAACCTTGCTAGAGTTGTAATCTGGCACTTTGAAGGAGGCAATGGCTTTTGTCGATGGGAGGATCTCAGTGAATGTGACGGTTGTCAAGATCTGGTCAAGTGAAGAAATAAGAGGTAACAAACTTAGTACTTAGTAGTGTGATCATTTAAGACAACATTTATTCATTGGATAAACGAGAGACTTTACATTGGAATCAGTATCGATCTTGACATCGAACAAAGCATTTCTATACTTGTATTGTGTAGCAACATTAGCAGCATGTAGTACTCCATTCTTGAGAGCAGTGGAAGTAAGAGCCTATAACAAAATAGCAGAAGACAAGAGTCAATAGATGCAACCATTTATCCAGGCAAAAAAAACAAAGCAACCTATAAGTATCTCATATCCCCATTCTACATATTCATAAGTATTCTTATGGTTCTGAAGCCACAAATGTATATTACCAGGATACATGTAAATTGTTCATCAGCCTCCTATGCTAATTCCAAAACAGAATATGATCTTAAAACAATGACAGAAATACATGCTGATCAATCAAATGACAGAAGAGATTGTGCAATGCTTATGCAGTTGAATCCATCAAGAGAAGGTTTTTGTCTCCAAAACCACAGGTATATCAAGATTGACTTTAACTTCACTCAAATGCATTGTCAATTATCAATGATTCACTCCGCAGCTAGGGCATAGATCAAATCTATCAAACCAAGAAGAACTTAAAACAGTTGCTACAAATTCATCAATGTGAACCAAAATCTACGAATCGACTACGAAGAAGATGATTCACAGATTATAAAACCTAGAAACGAGATTTGATACTTACGACGCCGGAGACACTGTTAGTGGAGATACTGAATTTCTGATCGGTACTGTAATCTCTCGTCAACAGATCTAACATTAAGGAAAACACAAAATCAGCAAAACGCGAAACATCAAAAACTAATGGAGATGAAGAAGGGAAGATTATCATACCTTTCGCAGATTTTCCGATGTCGGCGAATAGTCCCGGACCCTTACTCATGGTTATCGGAGAATTTGAGAGATCGACAGTTGAGGGAGAGAGAGAATTCCAGTTTTTTTTTTTTTTCCGTCAACAAAAGAAATAAAGAGATAGTTACGCGAGTAAGTTTTTTCAAGTAAATAATATATTAAATAAAACTATTAGTGAAAGTGTAACAACGAAGGTTTCGTGGTGTAGTTGGTTATCACGTCAGTCTAACACACTGAAGGTCTCCGGTTCGAACCCGGGCGAAGCCAACTTCTGTTTTTGATTTTTTATTACTTTGTAGAAGAGTCCATTGGGCTTTTAGATGGGCTCAACTAAATCAATAGCGGTAGGGACAAACCTTATTTTGTTTGTCTTTAGACCAATTACGTTTGTAGTTTTAAGTTTTCTTATCAGATTGAGCGCAAAGATAAATTAAGTTGAAATTTTATTTAACTTAATATATATGTATAATGAAGTCTTGCAAAAAAAAAAAAAAACACACACACACACACACACACAAAGTTAAGGAGGAAAGAAGAAAATATCTCTCAAATCTTTAAAACATTAAAAAAAAAAAAAACTATGAGATCCTAAACCTTATGGTTGTAAAATAAATATTAAAAATAAATAAATAGTTGCTTATGAACTATGAAGTGGGTGGTGTCACTCACACACAAGTCACAACCATGTCGCCTGAACCTTAAGAAAGTGTCTCGTGCCGTCTTTTTTAAGTCTCCACCAAATCGTACCATTTCCACCATACATAACTAACCACGTGTCCCCAACCAAAGAATCTAACCTTCTTCCAACCAATAAGAAATTGACAGATCAGCTATGACCCAACGCTATGAAAAGATTCGCTAACCTGGCCAAACCTTTAAACTAACTCCGAAGATATGGCAATTCAAATCTTCATCAACACCTGTCGCGTTTTATGCCTTGTTGTTTTTAGTTTCTTGCTTTTAGTAGTAAACTAAATTATCCTCTCAAAAAATCCATTTCAAAATAATAATAGTACCATAGACTACACTACAAATCTAAAAGTTATTTATACGAATCATTTTTATAACCAAAAAAAAAACTAAAGTTCTAATGTAAAATTATGTGTGGATATAGTTTGAATAAAGTATTTTAAAATTGACAATTCGGATAATAAATTATTGCCAATAGAAAAAAGAAGAAGAAGATATTGAATTAGCTGATCAGCTGCTCATGATTTGGACTGGTACCTATCGACAAAATTAGCACAACTTTGATAAGTACTTTAGTTTTCCATCTTTGTGAATGTGTTACTTTTTTCGGCTTTTCAATAAAGTTTGATGTTAGACTCTAATACATTTATAGTTACATGATATCCCCCATACCATATAATTTTAAAAATAGGCATTCTTAGATTACTCATTATTAGAAAGTTAGCCTACTGAAAAGATAGTTTTTTCCAGGCTTTGACGTACTTTATTTTTATAAAAAATTTCATAACTTATCAAAGATCATTCAAAACTCATCTCCACTTCATTATACATGGAATTATTTCATTGGTTCAACATTAACTTCATCGAAATTTAGGCTCCTCGATCTAAATTGATTTATACGATTTCGATTTGAATTTTAGTTTTTTTTATTAGGTTTTATAGGTAACTATTTGAGCTTGAGAGTGGAAGAGTAAACAACAATTTCTTGTTAGTATTCAAAGGGCTTATTTAAATGAATTAGTTACAAACTTACAATCAAAGTACTATATAAGTATATATATCTCGCATCATAAGTGGTTTAATTACATCAACATAACCGGTGTTAATATTGAAAGTTCTACTTTCTTTCGCTTTTTTTTTTTTGTTTTTTCTTATATGTTGGAAATTTGGAATGGATTTAGTTCAATTCTAACTCTATATATAAATAAAAAATATAAAAGATGAAAATAAGATGAGATATTAATGGATATGGAGAAATAAGAGAAGAAGCACCACTTGATCACTTAGAGCCCACGTTCCCACTCTTAATCACCCAAAAAATTAAAACAAAGACGTGCTCACATCTCATCTCACTCCCTCACCAGCTCACTTCACTCTCTCTTTCTCTTTTTTTATAATCATCAATCTCAATCATCTTTTAATCAAAGATCACCACCATAGATGGCTCTCGACACTCTCAATTCTCCCACCTCCACCACCACCACCACCGCTCCTCCTCCTTTCCTCCGCTGCCTCGACGAAACCGAACCCGAAAACCTCGAATCATGGACCAAAAGAAAACGTACAAAACGTCACCGTATAGATCAACCAAACCCTCCTTCTGAAGAAGAGTATCTCGCTCTTTGCCTCCTCATGCTCGCTCGTGGCTCCTCCGATCATCACTCTCCACCGTCCGATCATCACTCTATTTCTCCACCGTCCGATCAGCAGAAAGATTATAAATGTTCAGTCTGTGGCAAATCTTTCCCGTCTTATCAAGCGTTAGGTGGACACAAAACAAGTCACCGGAAACCGGTTAGTATTATTAATAACGACGATGGTAATAATAGTAACGGTTCCGTTACTAATAACGGAAATATTAGTAACGGTTTAGTTGGTCAAAGTGGGAAGACTCATAACTGCTCTATATGTTTTAAGTCGTTTCCCTCTGGTCAAGCATTGGGTGGTCACAAACGGTGTCACTATGACGGTGGTAACGGTAACGGTAACGGTGATAATAGCCACAGGTTTGACCTGAATTTACCGGCTGATCAAGTTAGTGATGAGACACTTGGAAAAAGTCAACTCTCCGGCGAAGAAACAAAGTCGGTGTTGTGATTATTATAATTTTTTTACCGATCGGTTTAGCTAAGTGATTGATCATTAGCTGAGTCTGTAATGAAAATGATTGGAGTGGACTTTGGATTATTTTAATTTCTGTTTACGTATACGGAAAGAAATAAAATCTTCAAATGTTTATTCGTTGTTGGTTTTTGTTTATAAACAGTAAAAAAAAAAGGGGAAATATTTGGATTTTTTATTTTATTTTTATAAGAAATGATTATAATCAAATAAAAGGATTAGTGAAAGTTCTATTTCTTGGAAATTTCCTTCTGTTTTTTTTTTCCATTATTTTTTTTATTTTCATTTACTTTCATTTACTACTTCCGCAAGCAAAGGAACCACTTCTGTGAATCTGTCACTCCCAGCTTGAAGTGATCTGTAAGAATTTTAACTATTCTTATTTACAAGTTTAGCAAAAAAAATTTAACTATTCGATTAGAAACTTATAACAAATTTTCTCTTTAAAAACGTAATTTGATAGGAGAACTAGTATTAATTTTGGGTTATGTTAGTATTAATTATTGAAGTAGTGATAGATCGGTTAGTAGTACCTAACGAAGCTAATCCTTAAGTGTCTTGTCGTCTTTGATTGGTTGGCACTCACACTTCCCTCCACGCTTAAATTATTTTATAAATCTGTATTATTTCGTTTTCACGAGTTTTACGAGTCTTTTAAATAATTAATTAATTACAATTTGTTGCCATAAAATATCTTACACGTCCTAATCGATCCCAGTTCTTATGTATCTTCTAAGAAAAAGAGTAATTATACATTCCGAGAAAAATATGGATATTGGGTATTCTCTGAATTAAATGCCGGTATATATACAAGACAAATATCGTGTTTTTTTTGTGACACAAAAATTTCGACTTTATTTATTCTTTATAACTGTATTGTTGTATCTGATGGTTAAAAATTCTTAGAATTAATTTAGGATTTGGCTTTCAAAAGACAAAAACATAATTTACCTATTACCTAATGCTAGTAGTGTAAGCTTTGGTCATTCTTCTTTTACTATTGTCTTCACTCTTCATATTGTTAGAATTTAGAAACCTAAGAATTTCAACAATTTTCGTGGGCAATTGGGCATAGTATAAATATCTTGTAATAGTAACTAGTAAGGCCTTACAAGAGTGTTAAAGGCCTAAAGCACACGAACGTTCCAATAACAAGTTTTGGCATGGTCCCGTTCAAATGGTGTTTAACTATTAATGTACCAAAGATTTGTTGTTTGGACCATAAGATATATGAAGTAGAGCCCATAGTGTGTCTTCTCTTATAGCTGAGGAAAGTTAGCCCAATTATATTAATAGCCCAGTATTTAAGTTTTTCAGAACCCAACGAGTCAACGGCTGGCAGAGAAAAAAAAAAAAGAAAAAACTCAACCGGCTAAGTTTTTGTTGTTCTTGATCGAAATTGTCGCGTTCAAGTGACTTGGAACGACTGGTCAAATGTCTAAGCAAATGAACTTTAGAACCCAGAAGTTCAACGATATATCTGCATTTTTTATTACATTTATTTTTTGTCCAAACACATTCTTCATTACTAATGGAGTGAAGTAATTGGGAATAAAGAAATATATAGAGACGGCGGCATTCAGTGGAAATTTGCCTAATTGGAGTGTAGGTAAGCACACCACGTAAGCCATGAACGGCGCCGTTTCACCGCATTGCTATTGGAAAGTACAAGAAGACACTTTGATTAATATTATATATAGATCTTTTGTTCATATCATATTTGATTTTGCTACTAATGTAAGGAGAAAAAATTGTTTGAATTTGTCACACACGTGATACAGCATCGTAGGCAAAAACGCCTCTATCTTTCTTCTAAAACATTTACCATATTAAAATATCAAAACCCTTAAGGTTGATTTAAGGGTCAGATAGTCTTGTTTAGAGATTTGAATCAAGACACAAAGAAGAATAACTTTCTCTTTATTAAGGAAACTAACTCAAAACCTTAATATCTCTCAACTCAATCTCTTAAGCCATACCACACCTTGGTATGTGCTTATATAGTCACACCCTTTAACCTAATCATAACTCAATTAGGAAAACAATAGAATCTTCTAGATAACTCCTAGAGATTTAACATTTATCTTTATCACAATTTAACATTTATCTTTATCACAAACCGATAACTTGTGGTTTAAGTAAACTCCGGTTTACTCTTCAAGCTTAAACCAACATTCTCCCTCTTAAGCTTGAACTCAAATTTCTCCAAGTCTTGAACTCCAATGAGATCTCTCATCTCTTTAAACTTGATCCTTCCTAAGGCCTTTGTCAAAATATCCGCCTTTTGTTCTTCACCGGGAACATGATCCACCTTAACCAATCCATCCTCAACACATTCTCTTATGAAATGGTACCGTGTATGTATGTGTTTGCTTCGACCGTGGAAAACTGGATTCTTGGTAAGAGCAATGGCCGATTTGTTGTCTATCCAAATAAGAGCTTCCTTGTACGTCACGCCGGTTACTTCTTCAAGCAAATCTTGAAGCCAAATAGCTTGTCTTGCTGCTTCAGTTCCAGCCATAAACTCGGCCTCGCATGATGATAAGGCCACTGTGTCCTGTTTCTGTGAACACCAAGTGATGGGGCTTGAACTTTCACCAAGATAGAAGACATGACCAGTTGTACTCTTCCCATCATCTTGATCCACATTGTGACTACTATCACTGTAGCCTACTAGCTTTGGTATCTTTGAAGCAGACCGTTCATACGCTAAACCAAGAGTAGTAGTTCCTTTGACATACCTCAAGCATTGTTTCATTGCAGCTCCATGTGATTCTCTTGGTGACTGCATGTAACGACTAAGCACACCCACACAATAATTCAGATCCGGTCTTGTATGTAACAAATATCGAAGACAGCCCACACTCTTTCTAAAACTTGTTGCATCAATCTCCTTTTCTTCCTCGGCTTTGCTTAACTTGAGTCCAGCTATCATTGGTGTATGAACCAAGTTACATTCTTTCATATTGGCTTCTTCCAAAATCTTCACAGCATACCGGTGTTGTGTTAGTGTTATTCCTTCTTCCTTTTGACACACTTCAATACCAAGATAATACGTTAATCTTCCGAGATCACTCATTTCAAATTTGGAGGCCATCTCTTCTTTGAATCTCGAAATCACTTTCAAGTTTGACCCTGTCACAAAAAGATCATCCACATATACCGCTACAATGAGAATAAAATTCCCACTCACCATCTTACGATAGACCGATGGCTCCTTTGAACACTTCTCAAATTTGAGCTCCTTGAGAATTTGATTTAGCTTATTATTCCAAGCTCTTGGAGCTTGACGCAGTCCGTACAAAGCCTTATTGAGTTTATAGACTTTGCTCTCACTTCCCTTCTCTTCAAATCCCTCTGGTTGTGTTACATAAACCGTTTCCTTTAACTCACCATGAAGAAACGCCGTTTTAACATCAAGATGATGTATCTCCCATCCATTTGATGCTGCAAGATTAACAAGGAGACGTATTGTCTCAAGCCGAGCTACAGGGGCAAACACTTCGTCAAAATCTACTCCATACTTCTGAACATAACCTTTTGCAACAAGTCGGGCCTTGTGTTTGTTAATACTTCCATCGGAGTTGCGTTTGAGCTTAAAAACCCATTTCAAGCCAATCGGTTTTACTCCAATAGGTAACTCTACAAGATTCCAAGTGTTGTTCTTTGTTATAGAGTGAATCTCATCTTCACATGCTTGTATCCATTCCTTTGATTCACTTGCTTCATAGAAATCTCTTGGTTCATTATTTAACAGTAGGAGTACATGTTCTCCTTCCTCCTCCGCAAGCAACACGTAATCGTCTAAGTATTTCGGCTTTGTGATCTGTCTCTGTGTTCTTCTTAGACTAGGTTGAGCCTGAACGTGATTCTCCTCTGGTTCCGTTTCTTGTGTTGAGTCAAACAAGTCACTGTTATCTTCTACTTCTTCACCCGAATCCTCACTTTGTTCCTTGTCTAGCTCAGTTTCCTCTGTTTGCTCTGCTTGCTCTGTTTCATTATTTCTTCCTTCCTCTTGTATTCCATGGTTTCCAAATTCTCCGAGAGTGATGCTAAAAACTTCATCACTACCATGTTCTGCTTCAGTTTGAGACCAGTTCCAACCTTTTGTTTCATCAAATACAACATCCCGTGATACAACTACTTTTCGGCTTTGAGGATCAAGAAGTCGATAAGCTTTTGATCCTGGTTCTGTCCCGAGGTGAACTAGCATTCGTGACCTGTCATCTAGCTTTCTCAAGTGCGGTGTTTCTACTTTTGCGTACCCAATGCATCCAAATACCCTCAAGTGATCAATGTTTGGTTTCTTCTTGTAGAAAGCTTCATACGGAGTGCTTTGATTTAAGGACCTTGTAGCTATCCTATTCAACAAATATGTGGTGTGACGAATTGTTTCACCCCATAAGTAGTTTGGTATTTTCATGTGCTTCATCATGGTCCTTGTCATCTCCATCATCGTCCTGTTTCGTCTTTCCACCACACCATTCTGTTGGGGTGTGTATGGAGCCGTGAGTTGCCTTTTAATGCCTGAGTCTTCACAGAAACTTTTGAATTCTTGTGATACAAACTCTCCTCCTCTATCTGTTCTGAGTGTTTGTATCCTTTCTCCTGTTTCTTGTTCAACCAACGCCTTGAATTTCTTGAATTTTTTGAATGATTCACTCTTTTCCTTTAATAGGGCTGTCCACATGTATCTCGAATGATCGTCAACAAGCACGAATATGTATCTGTTTCCCGCAGTTGTGCTAGGTGTTATGGGACCACATAAGTCTCCATGTACTAACTCAAGTATCTTGTTAGCTCTAAAGGAAGTCGCTTGAGGGAATACATGTCTTGTTTGCTTTCCAAGTAAGCACGATCCGCAAACTTCTTTCTCAATATTCACTTGTGGAATTCCTCTAACAAGCTCCTTCTTTATCATGGATTTGATCGTTTCAGAATTTATATGTCCCAACCTAGAATGCCATTTGCTTGATTCGCTTACTGATGTCAACAAGTTCAAGCATGTCATGTCTTTTATTCCCATCTGTACCTTATAGAGCCGATTCTTTGCTCTTGTTGCTTTGACAATCAGTTTCCCTTCTTTGTCATGCATTGTCAGGTTTTCTCCTCTCATTCTCACATCACACCCTGACTCGGTAGCTTGTCCCAAGCTAATGATATTGCTTTTAAGATCTGGAATGAAATAAACATCAGACATCTTTCTTTGTTCACCATTCCTGTCAAAGAATACGATAGAGCCTTTTCCTTTGATATCTATGCGTGAGTCGTCTCCAAAGCGCACTTTTCCGGTGATAGATTTGTCCAATGTTGTGAAGTATCTCCTATCTCCGGTCATATGGTTGCTAGCTCCATTGTCAAGATACCAGACATCATCCTCTCCACGATTACTCTCATACTTGCTTGGTATGCAATTCTTCTCATTCAAGTATACTACTTCGTGCATCATGAGTTCATCAGCGCTTTGTGTGTCATCTTTGTCATTCTCTTGAGCTTCTTGTAACTTAAGAAGACGGTCTGGACAGTCAGATGCATAGTGACCTAATTTATCACATCGATAACATGTTATTTTTGATGTATCTCTTCCTCCATTAGACCATGATGCATCTCTTCCTCCATGAGACCTTCCACGGCCTCTTCCTCTATAAAACGACCGTCCACCTCGTCCTCTTCCTCTAAAGTCTCCATTAAAGCCTCGGTTGTACTGATTAGTTTGAGTCTCCATGTTTGCATACATAAGTTTGCTATGATCTTCTTGAACATCTTCTTCTTCATAGACTCGTTCTTCATAGACCTTAAGACGTCCGACGATGTCTTCAAAACTTGTAGTATTAAGGTCTAATACTTGTTCAAGAGAAGCGACAATCTGTATGTATTTCTTTCGAGGAAGACTCTTAAGAAATTTCTTCACTAGTTTCGGTACTTCGATGTTTACTCCTAAAGCAGCTGATTTTGACGAAATTGCGGATAACTTGCTTGCAAAGTCATCGATCTTCTCAGAATCCTTCATCGTTAATCTATCAAACTCGGCCATTAGGGTTTGCAGTCGAGCTTCTCTAACTCTCTCTGCTCCAACATGTTTCGTTTTTATAGCATCCCATACTTTCTTCGCCGTATTTAACTCACCAACTTCTAGAACAAGGGCTTCGGGTATGGACTGAAATAACAAGGCCATGGCCAAGTCGTTCTTCTCGCTATCAGTTGATCCTGCCTCTATTGTTTCCCACACCTTATGAACTCTGAGCGTGCTTCTCATTCTCATAGCCCATACGGTGTAGTTAGTAGAGTTTAGCATAGGGCATCGGATCGTCGATGATCCACCTTCTACCTTGTCCGGTACAACCGCAACTTCACTCATCTTCTCCTACGGATCTTCTCCTTGAGAGAAGCTCTGATACCAATTCTTGTTTAGAGATTTGAATCAAGACACAAAGAAGAATAACTTTCTCTTTATTAAGGAAACTAACTCAAAACCTTAATATCTCTCAACTCAATCTCTTAAGCCATACCACACCTTGGTATGTGCTTATATAGTCACACCCTTTAACCTAATCATAACTCAATTAGGAAAACAATAGAATCTTCTAGATAACTCCTAGAGATTTAACATTTATCTTTATCACAATTTAACATTTATCTTTATCACAAACCGATAACTTGTGGTTTAAGTAAACTCCGGTTTACTCTTCAAGCTTAAACCAACAGATAGTGGATTTGTTTCGTTGAAGGGTCAGCTTAGCCTTAACCCTAAACAAAACGATTTCATTGGTTTCATAAATAAATTGTTTACTTAGTATACGTACTGCATGAATGATGAACCATATTTATATTTATAAAATCATAGAGAATAGTTTAAGAAAGGGAATTTTAGTTCAACAAATAGTAGCGAACTTGAGAAAATTGGATAAGTTATATCAATTTTGAAATTTAAGTGCGATGCCGATATTGTATTTGAGAATCAATTGTATTTTTTACTTGCTGAGAATCTTTTTTTTTAGAAAATAAAGAATCTATGTTTTTTTTATGATAAGCACGAGGTGATCCGAACTTGTACTATCCAATTAATTCCTTCGGAATGAGTGTAGTCGTCGAGTAGTCTACTCACTATATTCCCTAATAAACCTAGATAATAACATCATTTTGATTGATCAACTAGAATAATTTAGTAAATTTTGCGCTTAAAAATCTATGTACATAAAAACTCTATGTTTAGTCGTCTGAGTAGTTTACTCACTATATTTTCTAATGATTCAGTAAATTTTTGCTTAAGAATCTATGTTACTCACACCGATTTTTGATTGGGAAAGATATATATGAATAAAAAGTAAAAAAATATGAAGATTCGAAAATATTTGTCAACAAATAAACACTGAACAGATAGAATTGGGAATTGCCATCAAATAATCGAGATCGTTCATGCATGACGCAAACATTTATAGAATTATATACAAATGAAATAAGTAAAAAAATGAAAATGAATAGAGAAATAAGAAATTATAAAGAAAAAAAAAGAACCAATGGTTGAGGAGGCACAACTATTCGCGGAGACACGGAGCCGTTCGCACCCATCACCTTGGAATCTCTTTCTTTCTCTCTCCTCATCACCAACTAGTCAACAACCACGCACCATTTTTAACTTTCATAATTAAACCTAACATCATAAAAGAAAAATCATTTTCTTGGGTATAAACTATAGCATAAATTATGATAAATAAATATATATTGCAGTAATCATTCTATTTTGTAATTTGGTAGGGCTCTTTAAACTTTGATTATCCAATTTTTATTAAAATAAAATAAAATCTCAAAGCATGACCCATTCCTTTACTCAAGTATCAATGTCTATGTCTATATATATTACATAACTCTCCTTCTTCTTCCAAACATTGAAACCCTTTGTCCCACTCTCTCTCTCTCTTTCTTGTACCAAAAGCAAATCTTGTTCTTGAATCTCCAAGATTATAGCAAAACCAAAGAGAAACATTAATATTAAAAGATTTAATTTCTGATAATTATGAGTTGCAATGGTTGTCGAGTTCTTCGAAAAGGTTGCAGTGAGAATTGCATCCTCCGTCCATGTATTCAATGGATCGAATCACCTGAAGCTCAAGGCCACGCCACCGTCTTCGTGGCTAAGTTCTTTGGCCGTGCCGGTCTCATGTCTTTCATCTCCGCCGTACCGGAATCTCAATGCCCTGGTACTTAAAACAAAAACCTCTTCAGTTCTTTTAACCTATTTCCCAAAACGATGTCGTTTTTTTTTTTCTGATGGTAAGGGTATTTTGGTCTTTTTACAGCTTTGTTTCAGTCTTTGCTTTACGAAGCTTGTGGAAGAACTGTGAATCCGGTGAACGGAGCCGTCGGATTGTTGTGGACTGGGAACTGGAATATTTGTCAAGCGGCGGTTGAGACGGTGCTTCGTGGTGGTTCTTTGAAACCGATACCGGAGCTTCTAAACGGCGGTGGATTCGCCGGGTTTCCGTCTCCAACTTCCGACGAAGCTTCCGAGATTTGTACGGAAATGTTGAATCTACGAAAAGATGATGATTCCGGTGACCGTAATATTTACCATCACTGCCGATTCTCAAGCTCTAGATCTAGATCAACGGCTTCTCCACCGAAACGGAAACGTTTAACGTCGGAGCAACCCTCGTCGGAGCTCGATCTCTCTTTAATCCCTACTTTTCCGATTAAAACGGTGCCGTTTAAGGAAGATACACCGTCGATGTACTCGGAGGAGTCTGTCACGACGGTTTCGTTTCGAGACAACAGCGGCGGTGATCGGTACGTACGCGGCGGAGGAGGAGAAACAGCAAAGTTGCTCAACCTTTTCGCTTAAACGGCGTCGTTTTTGTTTTCCGGGTTAAGAGTGTAATTTCGAGTAACTTTTTGTGCCCTTTTTTGGATTAATATTTTGGGGAATGTGGCAAATTACGTGATTTGTTTCTCTCTTTAATTATGAGAAATTAACCAAAGTAATAGAGAAGTATATTGTAATGATAATTCGTCGGTGGTGTACTACTAGTGTACTATTTTTAGTTCATAATCATCATTCCCATCGAATTCAAATTAAAAAGATAACAATGATAATTATTAGCTATTAAATTATTTGTTTCTATCGAAATATTCAACTTTAATAATAATAATAATAATCAAGAATTGAAGTCAACATATACATAATGCATACGCATCTTTCCAAATCCAAAGCACCGGCCAAGTCTTCGCACCCAACATACTTCGATTCTTTAAGGACCAACATGTTGTAATATACACACAAATATAGACAACTTGCTATTTTGATAATCATCTTGATTACTCCAAAAAAAATATTTTAGCATTAATTATCTCCAGGTTTATTGTCTTTCGATACTACATTTGTTATTCAATGGTTTAGTGATACCTAATAGTATACACAATTAGTATTCCTCGAGATGTGATGATCTTTTGTGATATCCCAAATTATCCTATACTACTGCAACGGTCTTCTTTTCATGTATCTATTTCTATGTGAAATACAATGTTTTAGATTAGTATATACCATACATTCTCCATATGAATACAAACTCTAAAAAGGATTAAACAAGGTGCATTACATAATATGTGTATGTATATAGTAGATATGCATTATATAATGCATGTAGTTGGATTGAACAAAAAAGTTAGGGTTATAAAGGGAAAGCTTTTGGGAGAGGCGGCTTTTGGACGACGCAAAGAGCCGTTTATGTCACTCTTCATACCTTCGTGGAATCTTCAAAAGCACTTTTTATTTTTTCTTCTATTCTTCTTCATATTTTGTTTAATAAAAAACTAATAACAATGTATTGTTGCTCTATGGATGATGGCGTAGAAACAATGAAAATTGACCAATAACATGTTTGCTTTTGAAACTTTGAAATGAGAATGGATTGTTGTTGGAACAGAAGAAGTGATTTGAAGATCTTATGAAGTGGGACATATTTAAAATATACTTTCGACCAGCCACCAGTGGGCAAACAAATGCTTGTGGTCCACGTCACTCTCCTTTCCTTTTCTGACCACCGGAGACTCTTTATTTTATATATACATATATATATTTTGAATATGAAGAGGTTCTGGACTCCGTAATCCCTTGACTCCGAAATCACATAATGTAATATTAGTTTTGTCCTAAACGTTACTCGAATCGGCGATCTCTAAGCTTCATAAGATCTTTACTAGTTGAGCTAACGACACTTGGTTAAAATATATAATTTTAGTTTTGACCATTCCAAGTTTAACCGATTATCATCAACAAAATATTTGTAATTAGTGTCCCAGATATCTATACTTGAGCAAAACACCCTACTAATTTCGAGTTTATAATAAGTTCTTCGCAACCACACTGTCCAAAAAAAAAATCGAATGGCTAAATGGCGAAACGAACAAAATTCATATAGTAGAATTAAACATGAAACTATAACGAGTTTTTAACACAATAAAATCTTACTACTGTTTCTAAATAAACAAAAATAAATTTATAAATGAGTATATATCATTTGAATTTTTTTTTCTAATTACTATATGGAAAATTAAGAAACTGATACGCTTTACTCATCTTGAATTCGATTCAAAGTTGCCAAGGAAAAAAAATTATTCGATTCATAGGTTTTCTAGTAAGATAAAGTTGAAAGTAATTATTCTTTTGATACCAATTTGTTTAGGGCATATACAAAACTAAAAGTTGGTGTTCCGCGATCTGAGGATTTTAATGAATGATCTTCTCGAATTTTGGGACGTGAAAGTGGGGCTTTCTTCATTCTTCTACGTTCCATCTCGTCCGTTTATTACATCTAATTAGTGTCTAATCATGAATTACAATCTTTATGGAGCTAATTTTCCTTTTTCTACTTCTAAATTTACTATGGAGCTAGCTAACTATACTAAAATATAACAATGTGGATAAACATGAGTCTATCAAGTAAAATGAGAATAAAATAACATTAGCAAGATTCTTGTTTAATGCCAAAAGCCACGAGCAGCCGCAGTTTCTTATGGGCCCAATACTTTCATCACCTTCTCCACTTAAGTCGGTGTGAGTCCACTTGATGTTTTCTTAAACTTTTCTTTCGAATACGAACAAAAGTTTAGTTATTATAAGTCTAAAAAATAATTATGTTGAAAAATCAAACCCCAAATCTCACATGATTATTTTGAAACATTTATTTCTTTCCAAATTCCACAAAAATGGTGATCAATAAAAAATCTATAAAGGTGAAAACAAAAAACAAAAAACAAAAAACAACGAGGAACATGAAATGATCACAAGAAAACTAGTCAATCTAAATAGAAAATCAAATAATTAATTAAGAACATCAAAATCAAGTTGGTATTCATGATGGTAGTGATTCCGGATAAAACACAAAATTAACTAAGTGACTTTTTTTGGATATCGATCTATGATAAATAATATTAATCCTTTACTTCAACGACTTTTTTTGCAATAGTTATATATACATCAAACTAACTCTCAATTAAAACTAAATTAGGATTAGCTGAATATTAACTACCAAAAAAACATTTTATCAACCGGTAAACACACTTTAAACCATAAATCTTGATATGTAACTGGATATAGTTCTTGATGATTTTTTTTTTTGCACATTACTATACAAAGTGGTATATTAATTTCTATAACACCTTTTAGGGGAAGATATAACTAATTAGCATTTTTAAACTTATGAACCTTGTGTAATTGAATATCCCGAATATTATCCCGAGGGATTTTGTATATGAAACTCTTCAAACAAGACGTCTCAATTGTTTGTTTCTTGCCTTTAGTTTTTCTCAAGTTAGTTTTTGATATTTCAAGAGTTTATTGATCTTGTGGATCAATATCACTATTCTAACAATTGTTTTTGTTTTTAATCTAGATAATCATAAGACTTGGTCTACATTTTGTCGTTCTTAGGGTTTTGTGTTATTCTTCGAGTAAGGAGAGGACCCAAGAGCCATCTTGCCCCTTCAAATCTTTTGTAGGCCGTACACTCATTTACACTTAGGGCTTGATTGGTTCTCCCGCTAGCATCCACCTAGCGGTTGTTAGCGGTCGGTTGCGGTTGCTAGCGGTTGGTACCAATCACAGAAACCGCTCCACACCGCTTCGAATCGCTCGAAATCGATGGATTTCAAAAGCTCCTTCCCGCAAGCGTTTGCGGTTGCGGGCGGTTGCGGTTGGTTTAAAAAAGGAAAGAAACTAAAAAAAGAAAGTAAATAAATTAAAATATATTTCATCATGTCTGATTTATATTCACGTTAATTCTAAAAAAATAAGAATTATTTAACTTTAATTTTCTAATATAAATAATTATTTTTGTTTTCAATATAAAAATTTATATGAATAATTATTTATGATTTTTAATCATTAATCATGTTTAAAAATTTTATACTTTTCATAACTATAGTTTCTGGTGTTTTATAATTTTTTATAATCATATATTAAATTTATTTTGGTAAATTTTGGTTTAACCGCTATCGTACTCGCTGATCAACCAGTCGTAAATCTCCCGCAAATGCACCCGTTTTCAACCGCTAAACCAGTCGGTCAAAACGCTAAATAACGCTTGAAACCGCGACCGCCCGCTTCCGCAAACTCCCACAACCGCAACCGCAACCGCTGCGTTTAAACCAGTCAAGCCCTTAATTAGGTTATTCTTTTATTTAAAGCAAAAAGAAAAGAGTTTAACAAAAAAAAAATACAAGGTATATAACTCAAGTCTTTGATTCTTCTAATGTCTGGTTGATTCAAGTTTTAACGTCACTTATAAGATCATCTTTTGGTAATCATAATCCCTTTGTGAAGGGTAGTTTTGTAAATTTAAACGAGACTTTGGAGGAGCTCGGATCAGTGTTGAAGATTTGGGAGAGATCGCGACAAGGACGTGAAATGGATGCGACACGTGACTTTCACGTGACTGGTTCCCTCATCGCTGGAACATATTATCCACTCTTTCACCTTTTGGGACCTACGATAGCTTCTCTGATCTTTGACTAAATCTTTTACATATCAAGAGTATAGTCCTGATTACTGAAGAAAATATATAGAATATATACTTCGGTATTAAAAAAAAAAATGTTTTGTTTGAAATATTTATTTTGCTCACCTAACGTTAGCAAACATCCCTCAATAACCATTAATATAGATTCTCAATTGTCAGTGAAGCTGAGTAATCAGTTAAATACACAGTCTCCAAATGTGTTTAGTGTAAATTGGACCAATCAGGAAAATGAGTGCAAGTTCTATGGTTCTTTTATAGGAGTAATCAAGATGATAATTATACATTCTGAGAAGATAGATCTTGCATTCTTTCCCCATAGCTAGGATCCATATTTCTTCTTCTTGTTTTCTTTTTTTTTCAACTGTACATGATTTTTAATTGTAATATGTAATATTATTCGTTTAAAATTAGTAACACTTCAAATTTCCAATCAATGAATAAATAAATCATTGAAATGGGCTTGATATCATGGGGCCGCAAATTTTCACTGTGTATTATTTTGATAATGCCCAATAGACTTTTCGTAGATCCGTTATCTCCGATATTAGGCAAAGGTGAAGTAACTATGTTATGCAATTAAACAACAATGGACTGACTAAAAAATTAAGATACTAACGGTTTAATACTCTGTTACATATACAAGACTATATTCCATATACATGTGTAAGATTTGTTTTTTCTTTAAATAAACCAAATTAACAACTTTAAATTTTTTTATCAAAAATACATAGGCATTCTTAGTACGTCCCCTAGTATATGGAAAACGGTAAATTCAAACCCGATTAATCAAACATAGTTTAATTTACTTCAGAATTACTTGACCATCTGCCCAACGTCTATGTCTTCTGGAGGTGATGGTACTTGATTCCTCGATCAATTTTCTTGAAAATAGCATGCGTTGAGCGCTTGCATATTGTTTTGCATAAAGTACCCAATGCATAATGAACTCTACTACCAAAGGCATAAAAAAAAAAACTGATAAATGCGATACATATATCAAATATCAACCGTAGATTTATTCCTATCCCCCAGAGGAGCCCTTTGATTGTTTAGTCCATGCTATATAACTTTTTTTTTGTCAGTCTAATGTTATATGACTTATATCTCAAGAGATAAGGCCAATAAATCTTCTTTTTATATCTCAAGACTCAAAGGCAACACATTTTGAGTTTAATAAAATAAATAACGTCCAAATGCTAAATACAAACGGACCAAAATCATGGGGATATAGATTTCATTTTTGTTGCAAAGTGCATGCAGTGATTTTATTGATGAATGCGATAGCGTGGCGAAAGAGAATAATCGTAACCTAGATGACAAAATACTCGGCCGTACACATACATAAATACAAACCTGCCACTTCACATGTCACCCACCTTAAGCACCCCCTTCAGGCCTTCACATACTTATACTTTTTATCTATAATATACTATAACAAAAACATATACTTTTTGTTCGTATTTATGTTACTACAATTCGTGTGAATAATACTAAAAATGTTATCTCTTTCCCTAAATAACAAATATATTGTTCACATAGACTACAAGATTGAGCATAAAATGCACCCTTCGACATAACTATATATAGATTCCTTATTTTAGCTATTAAGACATATTGCACATATATAGCAACATACATACATATTGCATATATGCACATCTATACATTGAAAAAAGCTGTTCTTGCAAATATTTGTCTTACACAACACAAGCGACCGAAGCGATGCGTTTCCCAATGATAAGGTTCACATACTTACACGACTCTCTCTACTGTCTCGTCTCTTTCTTTCCTCATCCCTCTCCTTTGTCTCCTTTCACTCTATTTTTCACTTTTCAGAATATTTTTACGTAAAAATTATGGACATGTCATTGTCTCCACCCTACTCTACTCTTCTTTTGTTCTTTTTGTTTCCTCTAGTGTCACAAAAATAAGAAGATTAAACGTACATTTCTCTCTAGAACAAGACTCAAATGACCAAAACCCGGATTCTCAACCCGACCCAATTCCCTTCTCCCAAACCCTTACGTGGCGGCGGCGACGCTAACTTCATGGAACAGCTCCTCCTCCACTGCGCTACCGCCATAGACTCCAACGACGCCGCATTGACTCACCAAATCCTCTGGGTGCTCAACAACATCGCTCCACCAGACGGTGATTCCACACAACGATTAACCTCCGCCATCCTCCGCGCGTTACTCTCACGCGCCGTCTCCAAAACCCCTACACTATCATCCACCATTAGTTTCCTACCTCCGGCCGACGAAATCCACCGTTTCTCAGTCGTGGAGCTAGCTGCATTCGTAGACCTCACTCCTTGGCACAGGTTCGGATTCATAGCAGCCAACGCGGCGATCTTGACCGCCGTGGAAGGTTACTCAACGGTTCACATCGTTGACTTAAGTTTGACTCATTGTATGCAAATTCCTACTCTCATAGACGCCATGGCAAGACGACTCAACAAACCTCCTCCGCTTCTTAAACTCACCGTCGTCTCTTCCTCCGACGACTTCCCACCATTCATCAACATCTCATACGAAGAACTCGGATCCAAACTCGTAAACTTCGCCACCACACGAAACATAACAATGGAGTTCACAATCATACCTTCTACTTACTCCGATGGCTTCTCTTCTCTACTCCAACAATTACGTATCTACCCTTCTTCATTCAACGAAGCTCTCGTCGTCAACTGCCACATGATGCTCCGTTATATCCCTGAAGAAACCCTAACTTCATCATCATCATCTCTCCGAACAGTTTTCTTGAAACAACTCCGATCTTTGAATCCAAGAATCGTAACCCTAATCGAAGAAGACGTAGATCTCACATCGGAGGGTTTGGTTAACCGGTTAAAATCGGCGTTTAACTACTTCTGGATCCCGTTTGATACGACGGACACGTTTATGAGCGAGCAGAGACGGTGGTATGAGGCGGAGATAAGTTGGAAGATAGAAAACGTGGTGGCGAAGGAAGGTGCGGAGAGAGTGGAGAGGACGGAGACGAAGAGACGGTGGATAGAGAGGATGAGAGAAGCTGAGTTTGGTGGAGTTAGGGTTAAGGAAGAGGCGGTGGCTGATGTGAAGGCGATGCTGGAGGAGCACGCCGTCGGGTGGGGAATGAAGAAGGAAGACGACGACGAGAGTCTTGTGCTGACGTGGAAAGGTCATAGTGTTGTGTTTGCTACCGTTTGGGTTCCTATTTAAATTGGGTTGATTTGGTTTAATTAGCGTTTTAATTGGATACTAGTAGATTAGCATTGCTTTGATTTCTGATCTAATTACAATTTTATAATAATTGTTTTAACTTTTTTTTTTCCTAATTCGAGTGTTATTTTTAGTTTACATAGATTATATTTTTTGTATATAGGTTTAGACGTTTAGTGATAACAATTAAAACAGGAAAAACAGAATAGTGTATAAAATTGTACCAGAATAAAATGTTTATTGATAATTGCGATTATATATTACTAAAAACGAATTAAATTATATGACTTGAAAAACAAGGATATGAAAACATGTTGGAGATACAAAGTAGAGATATTTGCCCTTCATATTTGGTGAATATATAATTTTTGGTATATTTGATGAACCATTGCAATATTTATCTTTTATAGGAGATTTTTGTGAATATTAATGAAAGTATATATGTCCATTTAGAGTTGATATTTTCATCTTGTTTTATTCATGTTGTTTCATCACAAATTCTTCAATTTAATAATTGTGTCTTTCTACAAATAGTTTTTGTCTATTTAAAATTTCTTGTTTTTTAACTCTATATAAATATTTTTCCAATTGCTTAGAAAAAATTGTGTATATTTATTATTACTTTTTGTTTGATATTTTCATATAAAGGTATATTCTTTCGTCATCTTGCATTCATTTCATGTATACACTTTGATATCTATATCATTATCTTTTTTTAAAAAAATAACTACTAATTTTGGTTATTTATTAATTTTTTTAATTCTCACGTAAGATTAATTTCTTTAGCTATATTTTCATATCTTTCTTAGAATGTGTACCTTGGTTTTTTTTGTTGGATCAGATTTTCAATAGGAGCTGTATTAATCATTTGCGCGAAATTCGCTCAATCAATGGCATGATCTCATATGAAAACAAACACTGCCAAAACTTTTTCTTTTATCGATTTTGAATAATTTGACATAACCATAACTACTGATCTCTCTGGCGTTAATATAAAATTAAAGTTACCGATTCAACTACTCCAAATGATACTATTGGGCCTCAATATGGAAATGATATTGATCCTGTTAGGCTACCTAGTTGCCCACCACATGTAAACATGTTAATTTTATTTTGCGCATGGGTTTTTTTAGCTTTATAATATCGTAGCTCCTCTGTTTTATCTCCCTTGACTGACATAGCTTTTTTTTTTCTTTTTAGCCTGATTTCAGCACCGCCAAAACCTTCGTTTAGTGGGACGTGGACATCTGCAGACTTCCCGAAGGCTTCGACCCCTCCTAACAACTGGTGGGAAACCTTAGAAAATCACTTAATGAAAAGGGTTACCGAGGACCAATATCTTCAATAAATGCATTTAGAACATAGATCGTATCGATCATGATACAATGTTAACGCTTAGTGCTAAGCATAAACTAAAATTTATAATATTATTAAATAAACATTATGGTGAAAAATACTAAGTAAAAAATATTAAACGAATCATTATAATGAGTAGACGTAATTTTCAGTTTCTTATATAATTATAAATATAGTTATATAAATATATTCAACAAAACATTATGATATAAAAGACAACATTTAAATTTTATTATGTTAAAGAGACAATCTTCGTTGAAAGGTGCTGATGCGCTTTTAAACTCCTCAGTGATTTCTTTGTTATCGTCTAGGATAACATTGAAACCGTTTTCTTTCAATATGTCAACACCACAGACGAAATCAATATCGCTTGTGAGTTGTGACTATTAGAACATTTGTCGGTTCTAGTAATTATAAAGACATAAACAGAACAAATGAAAAAGCAATATCTTCTCATCGTCAAAATGAACGTTCAAACATTAATCAAACGAAAATAAAATAAGTTGAATTATATAAGATAACTTATATATTCCCATCATCAACATGATCTCTAGTTAAACGCACCACAGTCACGACGAATGTTTCCATTGCGGCTATTCTTAACTCCAACACGGCCAAGTTTGGTCATGGCAGTCACAAAAGCGCGGTTGAAGGCCGTAGAGTTTGAGGCCCAAGCATTAACGGTGGGCCTAGAGCGACCATCCGTGAAGAGAACTTGATCGGAGGTGAAGAGACCTTTGCCTTGTTGAAGATTCTTGAAGTAAGTGTTGTCAAACGTCTTGGGCGTGACTGGGTCCATGTTGATTGCAATTCTTGGGTCCACATTCTTAGGACAAGCCTTTTGAAGCTCAATAGCGTAAGCCTTGTTTAGAGATGGATCCACGGAGTTGATGCCGTTGAAGTTGTAGATTCTTTTAAAGACCTTGCCGCAATGTGCGAATCCAAGGGTGTGAGCCGCTACATTATGAATCTAACGGTTTAGAAATCGATGCACTTTGGTGATATAAATATATCTAAGATGTTTTGTTTTAAATTTGGTTTACCTGAAAGAGCAATCATATCTTCTTGGGTAAGTTTGTTTTTCTTGAAAAGAGCGTTAAGTTTGTCTACATTGTCCGAAGGTCCTGGTAAGTTCCCTTCGACACTAGACGCAGTTGATACCAAACCATCGAACCTACCAAGTTCAACTTCATAGGACGGTCCTCCAGCCTACACATGCGTAAAACCTTGGTTCATATTAAAACATTTCCCAACAAGCAATGCGATGTACTATTTTTTTACATATAGTATTGGTAGATTATGAAGAGTATATGAATTTTGGTTTGGGATTATCTGGTTATAGAAAGGATAGTACAAATACTCACCGCAACAACGACATCTCGGGTGGCCAAAGTAAGAATATCGGCACATGAGACTTTGTTCTTGCAACGAGGGTTAGCGTCAAGGGCTTTCTTAGCTTGGATCACCACGTCAAATCCATCTCCGGCTAGCGAAATGTTATCTGGATGATCCTTCTCTGCCTTGTTCGTAGGCGTTGATTGGATCATGACAGATGCATCACAACCCTACAATGCCAATCACACCGAAGGTAGGACTAAGAAACCAATTAATCGCCAATGAAAGAGGAAAAAATTATATGAAAACGCTTAAATTAAAACATACATTGACAAAGCAGTCGTGGAAGAAGAGACGGAGAGTGGCAGGGATGGTGACGAATGTCTGCTTTACTTTCTTTTGGACAGCATTTCTCACGATTTGTTCGACATTGGGGCAAGTTTTGGAGTAGAAACCGCGGCTTAGTTGCGCGGTGGTTGTATCGGGAAAGACAGAGATTGTGAGACAAAGAGCCAAGACTAGAACCATACCGAAGCGACCCATTTTTGGACAAAACCGAGAGAGAGAGAGTGTTGTATATAAATTGAGCCAAGACAAGAAGAAGAAATGCTTTGAAATGATGATGGTAAAAGTTGCACGATACATGGTTTATATAATGATGGGCTTGAAGAATATAACACATTATTAAAGAAGATCCATTTGTTTTAGTTTAGGCTTTTATTCGATTTTTGGTTAACCGCACCAGGCCTACCTTGTTCATTACATAATTTACATTTATACTTGTTAGCATGATGTAATTAGTTATATTTTATTTATTTATTTATTTATTTATTTATTTTTATTTTTTTTAAAAGGGTATTCAAATTTTATAAATAAATGTCCAATGGGCTATTTCCGGAATTAGGCCCACACATTTCCCCTTAGGGCCCAATCCACTAACATTAACCCAACAAAACCATCAAACACAAAACCGACTCGGTTAACGTAACCGATCTAAACCGGACTCACGAAACCCTAATCTCAAAACGAAAAACACGCTTGAGCCGCCGTCCAAGAACTGCAGAACCTCGCCGGAACAGGAACCTCCGGTGAGCCTGGACGACGCGAGCCGAACGGAGATGGTGATCCAGGATCCGTTTCCATCCCGCCACCGTGGAGCAGTTTCGAGGAGGAAGAAGAGAACCGAGCTTCCTTTGTCGTGAGACTCCATGCTCAGTCGAGAGGATTGAAAGCAGTAGGGAGTAGATCCGGAGACCATCGACGGTGGCATAGATTCACCGGGCCGGAGTCGACCTCCCCCATCAAGCGGCGACCCTATGAACCCTCCAAAATCTCCAGTCCCCAGATCTAACCGCCATCGTTCCTCGTTCCTCGCCGTAAAGTCTCTCTCTTCCACTCCGCGTCGCTAGATCGCCGGTAGAGCTCTTACCGTCGACGTCTCGCGGAAAGCTTCTCCACTCCACTGCACCGTGATTTTGGTTCAATTGATTTGCTGAGAAGATGTCGTGGATTACGGATGAAGAACCATGAGCCAGAGGGTTCTCTTCGCCACCGAAATTGGCAGAGAACCCACCGTCGGTGCACGAAATTGTGATCAGAAGAAGCGGAGTTGGTGAGAGAGAAATCGCCGCGAGTGACGACCACGCGCACGACCTCCCTCTTTTTTTTGCTTTTAAATTGTCGTTAATATTACTATAAACAAATTCTTACAAGAGTGGAAAATTACCGAAGAGTTATTAAGTGAGAATGAAACATATACTCCCTCCGTATTTTAATAAGTGTCGTTTTAGAATTTTTATATTTTTGAATTAGATGTCGTTTTCAAATTTCTATGCAAAATTTATTACTTTTTAATGTTTTATAACGTTATAAAACATTAAAAAGTAATAAATTTTGCATAGAAATTTGAAAACAACATCTAATTCAAAAATATAAAAATTCTAAAACGACACTTATTAAAATACGGAGGGAGTACAATTAATCGACCATTATCCAATTGCTAATTTGTCTCAGTTAATTAATCGTTTACTTATATGATAAATTGTATGAATATGTGTAATTATGGATTTATCTGCTGTAAAAGGTAAATCTGGATTGCCGACAACAAAATACAAAAAAAATGGATCGCCGAAACAAAAAGGAAGAAAGCAAAAGTGGATTACAAATACTAAAAGTGGACATGTGGCTTGCACGTCGTTACATGAAAATGAAAGTTAGTGAGAGCATGTAATGAAAAATTAAGAACAATAGTAGTACATGTTAATGAATATACCATAAATAAAGAAAATAACCAAAAATGTTTTCGAAAATATTAACTTTCATTTAACTGTCATATGCTTTTTTAATCTTATTATGTTAGTTTTTATGTGAGTTTTTTTAATTTATTTATCAAATGGAGGTTTTAGACATTTTTTACGATTATCACTTCATTTGTTCATATATAACACCTAATTTTGTCCCTTATCATGTGTATATCCTACGTAGACAGCTAATTTATCAAATAGATTTATATATTTATTATACAATCATGTGATATATTGGTATATGTGTTCGAAATAGATTTTTAGGATCGATGAGCATAGAAATATGTAATTCGACCGCGAGAAAGCGAACTTAGCTCATCTTAAATTTGTTATTTAAAGTTTGTGCAAGATAACTCAAAACCATACATAGAATTTGGATCTTTACTCTAACACGCCTTGCAATGATTAAAGCAATGCCATTTAGAAAAAAAGGCAATGACATTTTTCTTTTAATAACAATTATGAGCAGATTGTGCAACCCACGCTCCTTGTTTGGGTTGACAACTTTGTTCATGTCAAACCATTATTAAAATATCTGCGGTAACTAAAGTCTAAGAACTTATCGTTGACAAAAAAAAATATAACTAAAGTCTAAAATTTTTTATTGCTTCATGCATTTTAATTGATTTATAAACCTATTGATTTTAAAATCAGATATATGAATTTGAAATAACATTATTTGTCCAAAGATTTGAGTCTTTGTATTTTTCACATCTAAATCCATTAAAATCTAACATGGATCTTGAAATCCAACAAAGAATGATAGGATTTTAATTAGTATTTATAAATGATTGAACCAATAACACATGATTTTGATAAATATTTTAAAACCAATTATTGAATAACACATGATTTTTTCTTGGATTTCTAAATCTATTAAAATAAATAACACATAAATTAATTAGTAATTTAACGATTCTAGAAAATTACTCTTCTTGTGTTTCTTTTTCGCCAAGTCATTCATAAAATTTGCATACTTCAATTTTTTAACAAAAAGTTGTTTTTCTATAAGTTTGTCCAAAAAAAAGGTTGTTTTTCTATAAATGGACCCTATAAAATGTTATTTAGTTAAATATTGATTTCACAAAACACATGGGAGAAAACATATAGCTTAAATCTAGACATTGCTTCTTTCTGGCTTGGTAAACTGACTTTTCCCATAACACCGGTCACACTTTTAGAAGAAAAGAAGATAATACTTCATGACAACTCTGGTATGGGTCCAGGTTTAGTGGTACACGATACTAGAGTAAAATCTTATTGTTTATATTCCAGAGAATTTCATTTGGATCGAACTATTTCTTATTTTCCAAGCTTAATCTCTATGTAATAACATCTTATTATTTGTTTATCATGTTGGTTTTTTCTTCTTATTAATTGCCTTGAAATAGTTTTATGAGAATTGCTCTTTATCGATTTTTCTTCTTAGGATTATATATACTCAACAGGGAATTCAAAAGATATTCTCAGCTCTCTATACAATCAAAACAAAGAAACAAGATTGACTGGAAATTGAAAATTTCCAAACAAGAACAAGTGTTCATGTATTGTTCAAGATATAGAGTGTCTTCGGCTTTTAGGTGGTTTGGTTTGTCCTTGTTTGACGCCAAAAGGGTTAATAAGCTTTCCGAGTTTTTGAGAAACAGAGCTTATGAATGACTTTCTCGGTAATCGAGGCTTAACCACCGAAGCAGTTGAAACCGAAGAAGAACAATCCGAACCACTCATGACTTCAAAAGCTTTCTCCTTCTCCAACTCCTTGAACTTCATTTTCACTTTGATCAACTCAAGCTTCAAGTATTGGTTTTCCCGGTTTAGTTTGGAGAGTTCACTCTTGTAGGAGCTGAGCTCAAGAGGAGGAAGAGTTTCTTCTGCGGTTTCTGCTGCTGGAGAATCTGAATCGCTTAAGATTTCAGGGAGACGATCATTTTGAGCTGCGTGAGCATACACTTCTCGTGATAGCTTTTTAAAGTCCATTAAGCTGCAAACTTTATTCTTCTCCATTTCACTTATATTCGGATGTGTCTGCACCAACAAGTTTAAACAACATTTTCTAAGATCTTTAAACTTTTCAAGATATAGGTCAGAACATTTTGAAAATGTTAAAGCTATAATTTGTTCATCAAAATAGTTTTAGTGTTATAAAAATATATACCTTGAGGTAGATGTCTATGGCTCGATACATCCCATCGTCCGTAATCCTAGACTGTTTCGGAATGCATTCAGCAAAACCGATGAACTTCGCCAAGTTTATGTTTTTATCAGAAGCGATTTCAGCCAGATAACTCTCCATCAATTCACCAATATCACTAGCAAAGTCAGCAGAGTTTCCTTCAACTTCAAACTCTAGATAGTTCATGAGGATACGTTGAACAGTGTCAACATCAAACATTGTGTTGTCTCCATTGAATGAATAAGAAGGAATCAAGAGATCATCAATCACAGCTTGTCTTAGTTGCAATCCCATTCTCTTCTCCAAATCAAGCCTACAAGCTACCGTGGTTTCGAGGTATATCGCAGCTCTTAAAAGTATCGAAAGAAAGCTAATTGACACTGAGTTTCTCTCCCTCGGAAGAAGACTCACAATTGTTTCAAGAATCAACATTTTCTCATGTTCTTGTTCCGCCTCCATCTTCTTTGCCTCTTTCTCAAAAATGTCCTGCATTTCACATAAAGAAACCGACATTACATTATTCTTTAAATTAAGCAAACACATTGTTCTGTTAACAAATTCAAGAATCTCACCAACCCTCTAAGAGCTTTTTGGGCATAGAGCATAAGTACTGGACTAAGTGAGTATCGCTTAAACCCTCTAGCAATCATCGCGACCAAGACACGTCGAAACATATCAATCCTTAGAACAGCTAAATCCTCACCCCACCAGTCAACTATATCCTCATTGCGTTGGCTCTCCTGACAAACTCCATAAGCAATTGAATCTATACACCGGTCCACGAGTCTCACTCTCTCGGCTATCGGCAATAAATCCTGAGATTTTCGCAGAACTTTAACCGATTTCGATAAACTCTTGAGGACCACTTCGTTTAGGTAAACCTCTATTGTCTCCACTAGGTTTTCAACAGAGTGTTCCTCTGTCATCTCTAGATACTCTGCTGCACATCGTAGCATCGCAATGTTCTCTGTGTTTATCTCGAAGCTTATGTCGTAGCAGAATTTGATTGCTAGCTCAAATCCTTCTGCACCTCCCGGAAAATCCAGAATTTTGATAACGGTAATGTTCAAATCGTTGCTTGATTCGCAAGCAAGTTTCTTTATAAACCCACATTTTGTAACAAGTGGAAACTGCAGATTATCACAGAGACTATGTATAAGAAAAAGTGATTCTCATTGTGTATAATTAGTAGATCTTGAAAACAAATCACCTTGTGGAGTGAAAACGAAGTTTCTCCAACATGAACAGTGACGTCACTAGGAATTTCTTGAGAAGAAATCCTGAAATTTATTATGAAAAAAAATAATATGAATCGACTAATTTCGTAATCACAAACATAGGAAGTGAAAAATATAAAAGATTTGAGAAAAAAATATAGGAACAGAGTGAGAAACAAAACCATTCACTAGTTCTCTCCATAGCTGAGGACAGAAGCTCCTTCTTTCTAGACATGAAGATAATCAGTTTCTTCTTGCTCAAGAAATCAACCCTAGAACTACTTCAAGGACATTTCTGATTCATATATAGATATAGTTTCTTTCATGTTTAACATTCTTATACGTAATCAAAAGAGACGAAGAATAATATGATCCACCGTACCGAAAAGTTTATGAGTGTAGTTCAAACGTTAAATAGGTAAGGGTCCTTGTGTATCTGAGACGTCTTTTCGAAATAATCCACACAAAAAATAATTGTCAGATATTTTATCTTTGAACGATTACACTGCAAAATAGTGAGACTGTGAATATATTTAACTGTCAAATCGCATAATTAGCATAAATCCTTGTGTTACCGACAAAAACATGTGGAATGACAGAATTTGACCAATACTATTGCCCATAAAGGCAAATAAAGCTTCGATTCTTTACTTCTTTCTTCAAAGTTTAAGATCTTAAATTTTGTCGACTATCAATAATTCCAAAATCTTATGGTCCATACAGCTTTATTATAGAACATTCACCGATTAATGACCGAACATGAACAAATGACTCATGAAGACTAAATAAGCTGCACGGGCTGGATTATATATGTGACAGAACATATGTCTTGTATCCCCACAAAGCTTTTATTACCAGATTTATACATTTCGTTTGATAATTGAATTTCTGATTGAGACACTACTCAACCTTTACTATAAATGGTGTCTCTTGCTTTGTCACTTTCTTGAAGTTTGACTAGTAATAGTGATAAATAATGTTAAATACGCTCCGCATCCAAAACAAAAACGATTCTAGATTTGTAATCTTGATAATAAACAATAAAACAGAAAATATTAAAAGTCTTTCTCTTTTTAACTCAAAAACTGATTTTAACAGTCTATAAGGAAACATGATTTGATCAAATAGTAGCACTTCATAATGAATATCGATCAAAACATGTTTTCACGATCAAATCATGTTTATTCTGGGCTGTTAAAAACATTCAGTAGTAGCACTTCTTAATGACTATCGATCAATAAACTATTCAAAGGTATAAGAAAAATTAATAAAATCATTAAAAAAAATGTAATTTATTCGCCTCTTTCGTTTGCCTCTGGTTGCTGGATTTGATTCAAACTTGGAACATAATCAACGAAAAATGGCCAATGTGAAGGTATTGTCAATACTGGTAAATACACTCGTGTGGCATTACCATCTTCCCCAAAAATGGACACTGTTACAACCGGTTGGGGTTTATCATTGCATTTCTCACAACACACGACAATTTTCTTTTTCTCGTCGACCAAGAAACGAGTACCGCTCCACATATGATGTATAGTACCAACTTCCACTTCTAAAAGCTTTCTCCACGACATCTCTTTGGTCTCATCATCAATCTTATTTGTTATCCATATCTCTCTTCTTGGTGTATCTTTAAGCTGTAATAACACCGAAAGTTTTTCTTCTCCAAAAACTGATAGAGAAAAATCATAAGAAATATGACACTGATAGGGAAGACGTATACGTTCAAATCTCTCTGTTGTATAATCAAAACTGGTTAAGCCCACCTGCTCAGCTTTCGAATCATAAGCAAACCAATAAGTCTTTCCCTTCGAAGACACGGGGTGATAAGAATACACAAAGTAGTAGTCTGGAATCGGAGTGACATCAAGATTCCTCCATGAATTAGATTTTATGTCATAAATTTTGAATTCTTGGTCGTCATAAATATAAGAATCCTTGTAGCTCAATATCTTGTAGCTCTTATCGCAGGATATATTGTCTTGGTAATATCCAAGAACAAAGTCGTGACCGTTATCTTGAGATTTTGGAGATGTTACACATATAATCCACATTCCTATTCCATTCTCCAAGTTGTTTCTTGCTCGGCTGCTCCAATAAACTGCGTGAAACATCGAGAGCAGAGCAAGAATCTATGGTGTTCATTTCTTCTGATTATGTTGCATACCCAAATACTGCCTCAAGCTCAATCAATGTTATATATATAAAAGAATCTCATTTTTCAAATATTTGTTTGACCTACTGTATGAAAAAGGGTCTGAAATATGTTTCTATGTAAATTGCTTATGGATTCCGTTTCGTATGTGCAGTCGTGGAATGTTTGTCGTTTTTGTTATTGAAATAAGAGATTGAACGACACGCTGTTTTATAACTAGACTAGACTTTTTTTTTTTTTTTTTGGGCAAAATAACTAGACTAGACTAAACCAATCTAAATTTGATCACGGTGGTTACATCGTGGTTAAGCTTTTAACCAAAAATATTTCTGGTCTTTGCTAAACGAAACTTTTTGCACATCACAATTGCGACGTAACGTTAACAAAGATGGAATTTGAGTTTTCATTTTCGAAATGGGCGGTCTTTTCAACTTTTCAAATTTGAATTTTTCTTATATAACCGACTTAAAATTGGAGTCGTAGAGCAACGGAAATTAAAAAGACGTTAAAAGAAGAAATGCGTCTACTACAAGTCTCTCGCTAATAGCTCTCATATTTAGAAAACCCCAAATTCTCATTTTCGCTCTGCCGAAGTTTAAAACCGGTGGTTTTGCGGCGGCGTTACTTGGGTCACCGGCGATGATGATCTAGGAAGGGCGTTCTCTGAGTTCGGCGAGGTTAATCGATTATCTAAGGTCAGTTACACGAGCGATCTCTGACTCCCAAATTCCAGATTCAGTCGAGCCGATTCCGATGAATCTGTTTCCGATTTGTGTTTCTCTGTTACTTGATTCGATTACTATTACTTTAATTTATCCCATTTGGTTCGTTAATCTTCTTGAATTTTATGAGTCTGGGTCGAGTGATTTTGTGATCTTATCGCTTTCAATACCTTCTCCGATAGTTTTTTTCTGATTTGCGATTTGTTTGATTTGACAGATCATTAACGATCGCGAGACTGGGAAATTTCAAGGGACTAGGATTCGTGACTTTCAAAGATGAGAAATCAGTGAGGGATGTTAATGAATAGATGGATGGGAAAATGCTCGATGGCCTTAGTAGCATCACCGTGAACGATGAAGCGGTGGTGCATACGGTGGATGCTACGAAAGTCATACAACGGAGGCTATTCATTTGGATGCGGCGGTGGTGGTGGACGCTGAGAGGAAGGTTGTTACATAGGCGGTGACGGAGGTCACAGAGGTGCGGTGGTGGTGACTGGTAAAGTGGTAATCGAAGATAAGTGGTTTTATGCCTCCGGTTTGGTGTTTTGTTCTTTTGATTTTGCTCCTAGAATGTGATGTTCTTTCACTTTCTTTTGCAGGATTTCTATATTGGTTGTTCACTTAACGAATGCTTTGACATAGATGCATGCACACATACATACATGATTCTTTGTATGATTATATGTTAACTTACTTGCTTCCTCATTTTCTGTCTCCATTCCTTGGTTCGTCATTTACTTTTGTACCTTCATTCCTTAGTTCCTTGCGTGTGTTTACTTGTTTCCTTATTTTTCTTCTTTGATTCTTTGCTTATGTACTTGTTACATGCATTCATATATGCATACTTACATTCATACATAGCATACGTACATTCATCTATGCATACACACATATGTATACTTGCATTTCTTTGTACACATTCATAATTGCTTCTCTGTTTCTTTGATTCTTTGTCCGATTCTTTGCTTACTTGTTTTTCTGCCTTCATGACTTGCTTTTTTAATTTCCAGTTTCCTTGGTTTGTTTTTAACTTCTTTGTGTGCTTGTTTGCTTCCTTCCTTTTGTCCTTGCTTGCTTGTTTGCTTCCTTATTTTCATGACTTGCTTGTTTAATTTCCAGTTTCCTTGGTTTGTTTTTAACTTCTTTGTGTGCTTGTTTGCTTCCTTCCTTTTGTCCTTGCTTGCTTGTTTGCTTCCTTATTTTCATGACTTGCTTGCTTAATTTCCAGTTTCCTTGGTTTGTTTTTTACTTCATTGTGTGCTTGTTTGCTTCCTTCCTTGTGTCATTGCTTGCTTGTTTGCTCTCTGATTTCATTGTGTGCTTGTTTGCTTACATAGTTCATTGAGCGTCTGTCAAGAAAAATTCCTTGTGGTTATTAATGTCGCTACCACAAAAATATCTCTTTAGTGTATGTGGAATAACTGTTATCAAATAACTTACTGGAAAGACATATGTGGAATAAATGTCGCTGGTCAAGTTCTATGATCATTATTCTCTCTAATATTTTATTTGTTGGTTTTAATTGTCAGGGTTTGAGTGAGACCCTGACACAAGGTTTGAATACCGTGTTTTTCCCTCAAAGTTCAACAGTTTGATGCGATGTCATAGTTTCTATACCAAATCAGATAAGGTATAAATGTTTTAACTCTGCTTGACCAACCGACCTAGACAAAGGTATTCTAGATATGGAACTCGTTTGATATAGATATTCTGTCTTTTGTTCCTCTGAATCACTCAGTTGATTTCTATCATTAACTTTGGTATCTAGACAGATAATTTTGTCATTTTTTGTTCCAGAAACAGAAAATCATCCAACAATTGTGACCATATTCCTGCTTTTGTTCCAGAAGAAGATTAAATAAACTCCATGGTTCTCTGTAAGTTTAGTTAGTTTGATAGCTGAATCTTAAAATCCTGTATATCTTTCTGGCACTGTGTACACTTAGGTAAAGTCAACCGTGCTGATTAATTCTATCCTTGACTGCAGACAAAAATTGGCCCAAGTATTTTCAAAAAGGTCAAAGGAGGTCTGAACAAAAGATCCTATGATGATAGTTAACTTTTTTATCTTCAGAAAGGTTCAAGGAGCTGACGTGATCCATATTTGCAGTGTGAGAATACCTTGAGGATGAAGCTACCATGTTTGAGGAGCTTCATCACAAATTCATGAAAGACAAAGCTATCTACAAGGTTTAAAAGGTAAAATTTATGTTTCCCTTTGGTTTAGTGTTCTCTCACTCTTAAGATCAGTAGTGTGTTTGGTGTTTAATTAAAGTTTTCTTTCATTAGCTAAGTGTTATATTACTAAAACTAATGAACATGTGTTTCTGCTTGGCAGACACCAATTTAAAGTTTGAGGAGGACAGGGAGAGGTCTATATGCGATATGAGAAACTAAGTAAGCCAACAAACCCCTTATGAGACCACTGTTAATGAGATGGCACACGTACTCACTTCCCCTTGTAAAATAACATGTAGGGAAAAGGAGAACACAATGATATCCAAACAAGAGAGCTTCTGTACACAAGATCTTGCTCAATTGGAATAACGCTCAAGAAAAAAGAAGCGGGTAAATAATAGCCTCACAGATATACACCTACCCTCTATTTTTTGTTGTATGACAGAATGTGAAATCTTGGGGTGTAGGATGACAAAAATTTCAGCATATTGAGGAAAACTCTTGGCTATTTTCTGGATGAGTGAAAGATTAACTTCTCTTCATTTGACTCTAAAGGTAAAGAAACATTACGTTGATCAGCTAGACATTTTTTTAAGTTTGTCTGAAACTATGTAGTCCAACAATATCACTTGTCTACATTCTTTTAAAAGCCTATGACTTTGCTATCTTACTAGCTTTTCCCTTTCTTCTGTCGCTTTCATTACTTGGAATTTCATGTACAACTTGTCCTTTATGAAAGGTTGTCTAGTTGTATATCTCCAAAGTATCTTACATGCTTATTCAGCTTGCTGGTCATTGCATAAATTTCGTTTCAAAGTGAAGGCAAATTGCTAACAAAATGGTGTTAAAATTTCTGCAGACCAGTGGCTCAGTTAACAGAGCATGGCTCAATTGTGGTTGTTAGCATTGCTCACATTATAGGTTGGTTTTGTTTCCCACTCTCTTCACCTGGTAGACAGAAATACTTAGCACTGTTCTAGTGTGAAAGAAACTAAAGTTTGTGATTTATTAAATTTTGCAAGGAAGAAGAAAGGAGCTGATTTTGGCTGGATTCTTGTTTTGTTAGAGCCCTTGTGACTGCACTAGCACCAATCTATTCCTTCTGATAATTGGACATGTTACTTATGGGGTGGCTAAACTGGTAAGTAAGACTGATCATGATTTATTAGTGGCTGCCAGGATTTAGTTTATAAATGTGCATTTCAACAGGGAAGATTCTTGAAAATTAGTACAAGAGAAGAGAATTTTCATGAAGTTCATGATTGGAACACATGCAGTTTCAGCCTTTCAGGTATATTTTTCCACTACAGTCGCAGAAGTAGATTGATGGTCACAACAATCTTGGTAAAACTTGTATCTAGTCTTGTAGGTTGCACATGGACTTGAACATATTAATGTCTTTTGCTTTCAGGTAAATTTAATGCTCTTGTTCCGAATCTAATCCGATCGTTGACATTTAGCGTCTGAAGTTTAGTTAATATATGTGTGTTTTCCACAGGAAATAAGCTTGCAAAAATAGAACAAGAGAAGAGAGATGTCATCAAATTAGGTACTATTTTTTTAAACTCACACTGCAAATATGAAGCTGCCAAGTTTGAGGAGCTTCATATACAATGTTTAAATTAGCTTAGTCATCTCTCACTCTTAATATCAGTAGTGTGTTTTGACTTTGGTGGGATATTACTAAAACTAATGAACATGTGTTTCTGCATGGTAGACACTATTTCCAAGTTTGAGGTGAACAAGGAGAGGCTCTATATGCGATATGAGCAACTAAGTAAGCCAATAAACCCCTAATGAGACCAATTATTTGACTCAATTGTGGTTGTTAGTATTACTCACACTGTTTCAGTGTGAAAGAAATTAAAGTTTGTGATTAAATTTTGGAAGGAAGAAGAAAGGAGCCCTTGCCCTTGTGACTTCACTAGCACCATTCTATTCCGTTTGATAATTGGAAATGTTACTTACGTGGTTAAACTGGTAAGTAAGACTAATCATGCTTTTTAAGTGTTTGCCATCAAAATTCACTTCAAAATACCATTTTTCACACAATTCTTTTTTTCCTTAAAACTGCAAAAGTGAGAATTTACTTGATTTTTGTTTTGTTTGACTGTGAAATATGATTTTGGAAGGTCCAGTTATCCCGATTTCTTTCACCCTCGCACTGTGAAAGACAAGGTCTCCAAGAGAAGAAATGGGTCCTGCTTTCAATTTTCAACTCCAGGTTGCAACTTGTTCTTTCTCAGAAATTTATCTTTGTTTCTCCTGCACTATGTCAAAAATCTCGGTGATAAATATGGTGATGAACTTCTGTTGTTTCTATTGGATTTCCTTAATAAGTTTTCAAGGTATTGGGGATCAATACAACATTTAGCAGCAGAGAACGACGTGGTTTTAGTATGAGGAACATGAATGCATCAAGGTATCTAAATTTAATCTTGTTTCTACTATGATCTGGTCATTCAAAATAAATGTGCATTTCAATAGGGAAGATGCTTGAAAATTAGTACAAGAGAAGAGAATTTTCATTAAGTTCATGATCGGAACATATGCAGTTTCATGTATATTTTTCCACTAGAGTCGCAGAAGTAGATTTATGGTCACGACAATCTTGGTATAACTTGTTTCTAGTCTTGTAGGTTGCACATGGACTTGAACATGTTAATGTCCTTTGCTTTCAGGTAAATTTAATGCTCTTGTTCCAATCGTTGACATTTCGCGTCTGGATTTTAGTTAATATATATGTGTGTTTCCACAGGGAATAATAAGCTTGCAAAAATATAACAAGAGAAGAGAGTTGTCATCAAATAAGGTACTATTGTTTAAACTCTTCCTGACCCACTAATTAGTGAGAGAAATCGAGGTAAACTAAACGGAAGTTTATGAGTTTGTACATTTATTTTCTTGAACCTATAAGCAGTGCCAAAGCAAGAATCGTTTGAAGAACTTGCATCTCTAAATTATACGATCAACAAGCTGGCCATGAGTCGCGCTAAGCCTTTGCATCCCACTTGTAAGTTAAAATTCCTCTAAGTTATTTGTTTATTCAATTTTCCTAATGTCGGTACTGGTGTGTCCTCTTTCCGTTTAATCCCTGAAAACAAGACATGTAGTTACAGAGAGCTGCCAAGAACTGGAGCGATTCAAAAGAACTGTAAGTTATCTTCTAGTTTTATAAGTTTAATTATTTTCCCAGGTATGTCGATTTATCTCTTATAACTTGAAGTTATCGCCTCTTCTGTTCTTATATAGTATCATAATTCATAACTAATAGACTTTTCAAATTTCTATAGTGAGTGAGCAGGTACGTACCAGAAAAATCAGAGATTACACTAGATACGGAAACGAAGAGAATATATTTATGGTTCCTTGAATAGCACGATCTAAGTTGATCTCTTGAATCTCCCAACACATTGTATACATGTATGCTTAGATTCTTACATTCATGCATGTTTGCTTCCTTGATTCGTTGCTTGATTCTTTACTTACATCATCAAATTGTTCACTTGCTATCTTCTTTGTTTCTTTTGCTTATTCATTGCTTAACTTGCTTGCTTGTTTCTTTCACTACTTGCTTAAATGCATTTACATGCTTAACTCGTATGATTGATGCTTTTTCTGTTTCTTTGTTTCTTGCTTACTCAATTGCTCCATTCATTGCTTAACTTGTTTGCTTGCTTCCCTTTTTGTATCTTTGATTATTTGTTTCCTTACATGCTTTTAAGTTAACGTGTTTACATATTTTCTTCTTTGATTCTTTGATTTTTTGTTTACTCAATTGCTTCATTTGTTGCTTAACTTGTTTGTATGTTTCTTTACTTGTTTCATTGTTTGCTTGCTTAACTTGTTTTCTCACTTTCTCTTTGCTTCTTCCTTTCATTCTTTGCTTCATTGCTTGATTCTTTACTGAATGTTTAATCTGTTCACTTAGAAAACTTGCTTGTTGTAACATCCCTGTCTCGAGATCCTAAAAGCGCCGATTTGTTTTACGGAAAACTTTATTTTATTTTATTTTCAATTCTATTAAAATAAACTAAATAACATATAATAATTAAATTAAATAAAAAATTAGAAAAAATACAAAACGAAAAAAAAATATAAAACGAAAAAAATATACAAAAAAAAAAAAATTGAAAAAAACGAAAAAAAAATTTATAACGAAAAAAAATTAAATTAAAAAAATATATATATAACGAATAAAATATGAAACAAAATAAAAAAATTGATAAAAAAACAAAAAAATGAAACAAAAGATACAAAACGAAAAAAAATAGAAATTGAAAAAAATAAATATAATATCTAAAACGAAAAAAAAAACTTAATCATATATTAACGAGGAGACATCCACACATGAGCCATTTAATATAAATAAGTCTGTCGCGGTAAGAATATGTCTGTCATTACCTTATTATGCAGATTAAATTCTATTTTCATCGATAAAACTGTCATCATATGACATATTTTTTTATATCCTATCTGAAATCTGTCGTAATATAAAAAAAATCTGTCATAACATAAAACATTTCGGTTGCGATTATATGTCATTCTAGCAATTTTTATTTTAAAATAATAAATCTACTATCACACTCCAGATTTTTGTTAAAACAAAAAAAACTGTCATAACGTAAAATAAATCTGCTATCACTAATAAGTCAAACTAGTAATTATTTTTTATTAACAAATCTGCTATCACTAATAAGTCTGATGCCAATGAAACAATAAATCTGCCACATATTTTAATAAATCTGTCAAAATTACAAAAATCTGTGATGTTATAATAAAAAAAAAATTGTTAAAAATGCCCCTTTTTCAATACCCCTTTTCAAAAATGCCTCCTTTGAGAGTCCATTTTTAAGTTTGCCCTCTTTTAATTTTTAATGACCATTTTACCCTTATTTGAAACAAAATTAGGTCCACAAAATACAAAATATTTTTTGGCGGGAAAAGTGATCCTGCAATTTTCCCGCCAAAACACTTGTAAAAACCTTTAAAATACCTTGTAAAATTTTCCCGTACAAATTTTTCCCGCCAAAAAAATTTTTTTGCGGGAAAAGTGATTCCGCAATTTTTTTGGCGAAATTTTTTTGGCGGGAAAAATTTACAAGGTATTTTTAAGGTTTTACAGAGTATTTACAAGTGTTTTGTAAGGTTTTACAAAGTATTTTATACCTTGTAAAACCTTTTAAAATACTTTGTAAAACCTTATAACTTGTAAAACCTTATAAAATAGCTTGTAAAATCTTATAATATCTTATAAATACGTTGTAAAACCTTTTAAAATACATTGTAAAACCTTATAAATACCTTGTAAAAAACCTTTAAAATACCTTGTAAAAAACCTTTAAAATACCTTGTAAATTTTTCCCGCCAAAAAAATTGCGGAATCACTTTTCCCGCAAAAAAATTTTTTTGGCGGGAAAATTTTTTGGCGGGAAAAAATTTTACGGGAAAATTTTACAAGGTATTTTAAAGGTTTTACAAGTTTTTACAAGTGTTTTGGCGGGAAAAATTGTGGGATCACTTTTCCCGCCAAAAAATATTTTGTATTTTGTGGACCTAATTTTGTTATATTTCCTTATATATTTTTGATATCTTTTATTAAAAGAAGGGTAATTTAGTCATTTTGTACATAAAAAAGGGTATTTTTAAAAATGGACAGCCAAATGGGGCATTTTTGAAAAAGGTATTGAAAAAGGGGCATTTTTGTGAGTCTCCCATAAAATAATTCTGTCGTAGAGAAAAAATCTGTTACAAATTAAATATCTGTCGTAACCTACTTCATGTAAGTCTATGGAAGAAAAAAAATATGTCGTAGACAAATAAGTCTGTCAATGAAATTAAATCTGTTATAACTTATCCAGCAAGACTTTTCAAATAATTTTTTTTTTCCTAATATTTTTTGCCCACGTTTTTATTATTTAGTTAAGAGTAATTTTGTCTTTTTTTTTTATTATTCCTAACAAAGAAAGAAAGAGTATTATGGTCGCCAAAATAACTCATTTAACCCTTAAATTTTTTAAGACATTTTAGTAATTAAACTCATAATTTGGGTTAATCTAGTAACTCTTCCAAAACGCATAAATAATTAATTTACCAAGTGGAAAGAAAAGATAGTCGTCATGAGACAAGGGGCAAAAATCAATAGACTAGATCCAGCGATCTGCTATGATAGATAGATAAGAGATAGAGAGAGATCCTACCGCAACAGGGAATATACATGGCCATATTGATCGACGATATTAGCTAGAGAGAAAAGATGGGGCAGATTCGTTGAAGAAAGAGAGTCGTTTAACCTAGACGCAATCTTCTATTGTAAGCAGCCTCTTTAATCAAGTTCAAGATTTTGATTGTGTCGACTTATTAAATATTTCCAAAATTTAATGGTCTGTACAAATTTCAAGGATTCTTGAAGATTGAAGAAAAAACAGAGGTTAACTTCTGATCGGAGACAACTCAAAGTTTTGCTAAAAAATGGTTTCTTCTGTTTCCATCACTTTCTCGAAAGTAGCCTAGTAAAAGTAATAAATAATATTCAAAACGTCCACATCCAAAAAAAGATTCTTGATGAAACGAAAAAAAACAGCAAATATTACATGAAATGACTTCAAAAACTGGTTTTAAACAGTCTGAGAATTGTTTTGTTTTTTACCTTAGTAACATATTATTATAGATGTTTCGATTTTGGACCAGAGGAAGCAACAGCTTTCTGAGCACGCAGGGTTTCATAGCGATACAGCTCGGATGTCTGTTTCTTCATTATCCTTGCTTCTCGCTTTTCGGTTTTTACAGCATTTTTTCGCTCTTTCTTCTCTTCTTTCGACTCTTGACCATGAGTCTTCCTCTTGATCGGTTCAGCTTTCGGAATTTCCAATTTGACATCGGTTTGTTCCGCTCTCCTACCAGGTAAAAACTCGACAGGAATCTTCTCTCTCCCTTGGAGAGTAATGATTCTGCCATTTGAACTCAATGCTTTAGCTACTGTTCCACTCAGCTTCTTCTGCCTAGCTGACTCTGAAGCAAGGATTTTACCAGGGAGGTTATCGAGATTCGAGTATGTTGAGACTATGGTGAGACAATCATGCTTCTCGCTTTCGTCGCTACTTTCTTCGGTCAGCTCTACAAATTCATCTTCATTCCCGTTATCAAAATTTTCAGCGTATTCCACAGTCCGGCGGATAATATGTGCAGCAGTGTCCACTTCCTCTTTATCTTTAACAGAGTCACTGTTCTTCAATATATCTGCAAGGTTCATATATTTTTCTTCAAGCTCATAATCTTTCGCCTTCTCATGAATAAGATTCTGAACGTCTTGAGCCATGTAATCTTCTTCTTCTTCTCCATCTTCAGCTACGTAACCATCACAGTCACTATCACTTCCATATTCATTAAGTTCAAGCTGATCAAATAGCTCATCAATTTGACGAGGAACTCTCGGGTTTTCAGCCACAGGTTTATCACTTTCTCTTTCTCTAACCTCACGTCTTTCAGAAAACACGAGCTCGCCATTGCTCACACCAGAAGTTTCACCCTGTTGAGTAAGATTAGCTTGAATAACAAAATCTTCTTCCAAATCCTCAACATCAGAACCAAACTCAGACCCATCACTGTTTTCAAGCAACGCAGCAACTTCAGGATCAATAGCTTTCTGCACCTTGACGTTAACAGTCTTCGACGCCACACTATACATCAACTTATTATCATTACCTTCTTCATTCACCATACCAGAGATCTTAACACGAGACGCATCATAAGCCTTAACATCACGAGGTAACTGATCAACCACAAACTTAGGATTAGCATAGAAATTTGAACCACCACCAGTATTCTTAATCTCTCTCAAATGCTCCAAGTAATTATAACCATCATCAGGATACCCTAACTCCAAAATCTCCTTCCTCACATGAGCAGGTAAAGGATTACTACTCGATTCCCCGAAACTAGAGTAACCATAAGGCAAATCTTCAGGAGCATCTTCAAACCGTGAGCTGTCTCCTTCTTCTTCATCTTCTTCTTCAATGAAACCATTGATGTTAACAGGGTTTTGATCAACTCGTAAGAAGATCTTATCACCACCTGGTGCATCACTGTATTTTGGGTCAGACGTATCACGAGGACACAACTCGAAAGTCGCCGCCTTTTTCTTATCAATAAACTTCTTCTTCCCCATAGCTTACTGATTAAAACCTTCTTAAGGTTTTTGCAAACTGTAAAACAATACAAAGATTAAGGTTTCTTCTAACTTCTCAGTCACACCAATCAACTAGACTACGATTTAATCCTGACTAATAAAGGTTAAAATTTTTCATCAATCAACACATTATCACCGAAAAGGGAGAAACTTTAAGTCTAGAAACGGTTCAAAAACACTAATTTAATGAAATTGAAGAAGCTTACCTGAAGAGTTTGAGAGAGAGAGGCGCAGCAGAACGATGAAGATGAATAACAAAGTCGGTGTTGAAGCATTTTTAGTTTTTAGGGTATATCATCAAAACGCAACGTTTTAGGGTTTAACCTAAAAACGCACCGTTTTTAGTGTTGGTACGCATCATTTGATGACAAGTCAAATTAAATATTCGATTATTCGTTTTATTTCCTTAAACCAGTGTATGCCACTACGGGCAATAATCCACCGTGGGAGAGTGCACTGAATGATTACATGCACCTAATCTTCTTCTTCTCCTTCTTTCTTCGACGTTTCTTGTTATTGTGCGCCATCTTGATCTTACGTGCGCCGTTGGCGCATTCTCCTATACCCCCGTTAACGTGCGTCGCCAGTGGAACCGCTGAATCAGACGTTTCTGGTATCAGGTTCGATCGTTGCCTCGATACCGATTCTCTCGCCGAGATCTCTTTTTCCTCCGTCACAGGAGCGATGTCAAAAGCTCGTGTTTATACCGATGTTAACGTGATTCGACCTAAGGATTATTGGGATTACGAATCTCTCAATGTTCAGTGGGGGTAAGATCTTTGTTTTTCGAAATTATGAAAACCCTAGGAAGCTAATCCAGTTAAAAATTGGATCTTGTAATGTAGAAATTGAGCTTTTTGTTTAGCTGGTGATGTTCTTGGTTTTTGATTTGTTTTTGAGGAGAGTTTGTTGGTTATTTATGATTTTGAGCATGATGGGTGATGATGTTTTTGTTAAAAGTTTTGAGCTTTTTTATATGTTTCGTTGTCAGTGAGCAAGATGATTACGAGGTAGTGAGGAAGGTGGGGAGAGGGAAATACAGTGAGGTTTTTGAGGGGATTAACATGAATAGCAACGACAAGTGCATTATCAAGATTCTCAAGCCTGTTAAGAAGAAGAAGGTGACTGTCTCACTCTCCAATCATTTGGTGACTTATGAATGTTAGGATTATATCGAGTTTAGTCGCTTTCCGTTGTTTTGCTGCTGTAATTCACCTTAGTGTAGCAGAAAACAAAGAAAAGGTTTTGCCTTTAATCAGTTTTTGATTTTGGGTTACCTATCTGAATTAGTATGATCCTCTTACAGATTAGAAGAGAGATTAAAATACTTCAGAATCTCTGTGGAGGGCCAAATATTGTCAAGCTGCTTGATGTTGTCAGAGATCAACACTCAAAAACACCGAGCTTGATATTTGAGTATGTTAACAGTACAGACTTTAAGGTTCTGTATCCGACGTTGACTGATTATGACATCCGATACTACATCTATGAGCTGTTGAAGGTAATTTATGTAGTGTTATGTAATTCTATTACGACTACTGATCTGTGGAATTTTCTCGGTTCCTCAACAAATTTAAGTCAGTGATGACCTTGCAATTTTCCTATGACCTGCTGCAGGCTCTGGACTTCTGCCACTCACAAGGTATAATGCACAGAGATGTCAAGCCACACAATGTCATGATTGACCATGAGCTGCGCAAACTTCGCCTTATAGATTGGGGTCTCGCTGAGTTTTATCATCCTGGGAAAGAGTACAACGTCCGTGTGGCCTCAAGGTATGATAGGCATCTTTAAAATATATTGGTTTACTATCCTATTTTTGTTCTAAACCAATTTTTATATGTAGTCTTTATCAGTAACTAAGCTTGATCTAACGTTGTCTCATATATCAGATACTTCAAGGGTCCCGAACTTCTAGTGGATTTACAGGACTATGACTATTCCTTGGACATGTGGAGCCTCGGTTGCATGTTTGCTGGCATGGTGAGTGCCTTGCAAATTTACAAGGCTTCCAATGCTACATGTATATATGATCATTCTTTTCAGAATGTTTCCAAAATATGTTATGGTCATTTGATGTGTCTAAATTATATTTTCTCGTAGATATTCCGCAAGGAACCTTTCTTCTATGGCCATGACAACCAGGATCAGCTCGTCAAAATTGCCAAGGTAATCAATGCATGGCTAAATGTTGGAATTTTAAAGTGGATTGAGTGCTTTTCCATATCTTAAGAGTATATGTTTGATTCTTGACTCAGGTACTCGGAACCGATGAATTGAATGCATATCTGAATAAGTATCAGCTAGAACTTGATGCTCAACTAGAGGCACTTGTTGGGAGGTAACCAGAACTCAATTTTCTCTTAGTATAGGAGTAAGATTAAAGCAGTACCAATGACCAATTCTCTTTCCACAGACATAGCAGGAAGCCTTGGTCCAAATTCATCAACGCCGACAATAGGCATTTGGTCTCACCTGAGGTTTAATTTGTTCTCTGAATTCTATTAGAAACACAAACACTTTTGTCTATTGCCACGGTTTCTCTCTTGAGCTGTAACTTTGTTTTACAAATGTAGGCGATTGATTACCTGGACAAGCTACTACGGTATGATCATCAAGACAGATTAACTGCAAAAGAAGCAATGGTAAGTATCATGTAACATAACTCAAACAAGTGTTGTTTCTTAGTCTGCTAAATTTTGATGGTTTTATGAAATGATGACAGGCTCATCCATATTTCGCTCAAGTCAGGGCAGCAGAAAGCAGCAGAATGAGGACTCAATAGAGATGTCTCGATCGATTTTGTATCTTCTTCTCCAGTGTGCTCTTTTGTTGTTTTTCTAATACATTTTCATATCCATATGGATTTCTTTTGAAATGTCGCAGTTATTTTAAATTATGGATTTCTAAATATGAGAAGTTTTATAAGGTTCCTAAAAAATGTATGTTTTGAGATTTTTGACACTTTAGAATTATTTGCAATAACAAATATTTCTTAACTATATCCATTAATCTTGTTAAATGTTACGTTATATTGTAGTAAATTGATTTGGGTGAATTAGCCCAGTAACCATATAATTTTTCAAAATAATACACCTTCTAATATTTCATTAACAAGTGAATTTATAAGATTGATCTTTTGTGTTCTTCAGAGTGTCTAGATTCCATAACCTGAAGCAGCTTGTATTTGAAAACTTCAAAACAGTAAAAATGACAAGTACGTAGTGATCGCAGCAGCGGAAAGACAGCCTTCAATTCGAGTTTTTGGATGATTCTCAAGAGTTACATGAATTCTCACCATATTTCTCTATCTATCATGAATTCTCTCGTTTTTGTTTCATTATACTCGGTTACATCGCTAAATTTTGTTATTAGAATAAGATGTTAGGATGATCAAGCAACGAGCATGAGCCCTTTGCACATTAATTTCATTATCTTTGAGAACATATTTATGAATGTTTTTAAAATATCCATTATGGACATAACCTCTTTTATCATGTGCTCTTATTGATAGTCTAATGACTGATGGGTGGTCGATTTTGATTTATCCTGCAGAGTAGTTTTTTATTTTTTATTATAAAAAAGGTTGTTCTGCATTCAATAGTAGATGCGGGCGAAGCACTACGTTGTTCAGCATGCATGCTCTAAGGACAGGACCATTGGGACAGTTGTTGAAGGGAACACGGAGAATAACACGGTTACAACAATTGACGGTTGCCACGGCAACATCATCGGGAATGATAACACCCACCACTTTTGGATTGTCATGTTCTCTAAATACAAGTAAAGTTTTGAATGGTGAAACGCAATCGGTCTCTTTAGGGAATTTAGGATGGTCATGCATGGTCTCAACAACTCAAATATATATGCCAAGTTACGTCTTTTGATTGATGATGTTTTACCATCTTCGTATAGCATGTATCATTTTTTCTGTAACCATTCAGTGAGATGGTAAAAAAAATGGTAGTATAGAGCCATTTGCATCTTTTTATTCAACCCATAATGATCAAAAATACATTTTGTGGGACTCCCTATCATTAATGTCTCCCTTAAAAGAATTGGTCTAACGTTTTCGAATATCCTACGCAAATTAAATCTACAAAATAGTTTTGCTAAAAAAGATTTACAAGTTTATTAATTATTTGATCAAAAGTGTATATCGGAACATAATTAAAAAAGAAAATGTTCTTGAGGAAGGAAAATAACTAACCATAAATAAGAACGAGAAACAAGAGGTATCAATGAACCTAGACATATACCCACCCAAAGACCATTCAATTACCAAAAGAAGAAGACGAACAACAAACAAAAAGCAAAGAGACAAAAAAAAAAGAAAAAAAAAAAGAGAAAACATCAAAAACCATTTTTTTTTTTAAAGAGAGAAAATGGGGAAAGGAGGAACCTATGTGATGGTGCCGGCTTTTAAGGTGGAGGAGCTACGACATAAGAACGAGGAGATGGAAATACCAGTGTTCTAAAAAGCGGTCTAGGCGGTCGCCTAGGCCCCGACTAGGCGCTAGGCTCTTATGCGACGCCTAGATAACCGCTTTGACCGCCTAAAATCATATAGATCTTGTTTAATGTATTTTTTCAATTTCAATTAGAGTTTTATTTATATATATATATAGTTATAAGTATTCATATATTGTTTAATATAAATATAAATAAATGTTTTATCTAGTTTTTGTTTATAATTTCATAATTTTTAGTTTTATATAGATATTTTATATAACTTTTATGTATAATATCATATTTATAATGTTTTCTGTTATAAACGTTTAAACCGCCTAAAAATCGCCTAGGCCCCGATTAGGCGTTCTAGGCGCTAGGCTTTGGGTCACCGCCCGCTTAGCGCCTAGCGCTTTTTTGAACACTGGGAAATACTAATGTCGAGTAGTACTTGTCTTGCTTTCGATATCTCTAATGACATTTGCAAGTTGATTCAAGTTTTTATCTAAGAAGACGTCCATTCCAGCTTGAATAGTTTCTCTTGCTTCCCTTGAACCAGGATCATGACTAGATACAGATAAAATTGGTATACACACCCCATAACTTTTCTCCACTTTCATAATCTCTCTAGTTGCTTCATATCCATCCATATCTGGCATCTGTTTAGAACATTAATACTTATTAGGAGTCAACTATTTGTTATTGTGTTATGGAAGGTTAACCAATTAAACTTACTTGGCAGTCCATGAATATGTAGTCAAACGGAAGGTTATCTACTGAACCTTGTTCTTCTCTTCTTTGTGTAAGCCCTTCAGTGACTAATCTCAAAGCTTCTTTTCCACTGTCGCATTGTTTGACCTCGGAGACTCCCATCTTCTTCAGCTTTCATGTTGCAACTTTACGTGTTAAAAAGTTCTCATCGACCACAAGAACTCTCTTTCCTCTTAAGAATTCATTGTCACTCGGCTTGAAAGTTCCTTGCTCGTCCTCTTGGTTCCCAATAGGATTTCCACCTATAAAGTTGCTTATTAAAGAATGAATACTAGAATGGTTGGAATCTTCAAATGTATTTTATCCCAATCCTTTTGTTATGCGATGATACTTTGAAATTACAGTTATGTAATGTTAGAAAGTAATAATTGTTCACTAAAAAAATCAATTATAACATTAAAAGAAAGAAAGAATTGATGGGTTTGACCCAAAAATAAAATAAAGATAGATGTAATGGTATGGTAATGTACTTTACTAGATTTTAACCCGCGGTACACCGCGGGGCTATAATCTTTTTGAAAATTATCTATAGATATAACATATTGTTTTGTTTGATTTAAATGTACTTATATATATTACCCCGCGGGTCGATTTTTATAACTAAAAAATTAAAATTTTAGTTGATTTTGTTTTGTTTAGCATTTAATATTTTATAATTGTATTTTGATGTTAATTCTAAGATTTCACACGTAGTATACCGTCTCCTATTTATATCGACTCAGACCCATCCTACCATATAACCCCGTCCCGTGAAATTAAACATCATTTTGTTATTTTTTTTATAATATTTTAATTTAAAAAACATATAATTTGATCAAATATTATTAATAAATAAAGTTTTTATAGAATTTAAATATTATAGATACTTCAAACGTTATATAAATTTTAAATATTTATAATATTTAAACTTCTTATAAGTTTAAATATCAATAATATTTAAAATTCTTATAAAGTTAAAATATTTATAATATTTGAAACCTTATAAAATAATAATAATCTAAAATATCATATTATCCCGTAGAAATAAATAATATTTATATATTTCGTAACAATGTTTTTTTGGAGTTAATCTAATTTATAACTAAACAAATTATTTATTGCCAAAATGAGTTTGGTTTATAATAAGTAATATAGCAAAATGAGCTTGTCAAATAAAAAATAGTAACCATAATTTAATTAATGTACATTAAAATAAATATATTTAAAAAATGAATTACTTAAAAACTTGATTTTGTCACTGGTAAACCACTAAATATTTTATGTAAACAAACCAAATTTTTTTTTAAAACTCAATACTATTGAAAAAAATTCTAAACAGGTTAATAAGCAAAGAAATGAATCTTTACCTCTAAATAATGAGCTCGAAATTTGGATACGTACCAAATACAAAAGAAAACCAATCCATCCTCTGATCCACCGAGCAGACTTGTATCCAAATTAGCGAGGCAACAATCGGTTTTAAATGTCGGTTTAAACACAAAACAAACAACCATTAGTATTGTAACTAAGAGATATAAGTTAAGAAGCTACAATGGATTATTGTTAATTCTACAAATATTTTCACACTCAAACATGAACCATCTTACCAAAACAATAAAAATCAGAACCCTTTCCTAATTTTTCCAAACACCAAAACCTGTAGATTAAGGTAACGTAGAAAGACCAGTTTTTGAATGCACTGGGAAGCTCCTCAATACAACGTGAGGCTATCAAATATATGTAAAGCTATAGAATGATGAAAGTGAGTGATTTATCAAAAAAAAAAATATGAAAGTGATTCAAATAAAAAAAAGAATAGAGAAGAACCTTAGTCAAGACATGTAGAAAATGAAGCCACAAGCAGATGATTTGCGGAGCTGAGGGACGGCGAGAGTGGAACCATGCCCATTGATTTGGTGATTAAATAACCTCACGTATGTATTGAAAATAAATAGTCCATCGATTTAGGTCTTGTTATGATACAATATTAACAAAAAAATAGATTTGATGAGTAATTGTTATCTTTAAGTTATATATTTACGTGATTATTTTCCTTAAAAGTCTCCAACAATTACTCCATCTGTTCCTAATAGTTTGATGTTTTGGAGTTGTCACACATATTAAGAACTCAATCATTCTTTAATCATTTTAACATTGTTTTTTAATTTTAAATATTTTTAATAATTATCAACCAATAGTAGTCTAAGAAAGTTAATGATTTATAATCATTGTATCTTGAAGTTTACAATTTACTATCTTGAATATGGATGTAATTGTGGCAAAGAGTAGTTATGGTTAAAATATTATGTTAAGATTCTTTTGGCAATTAATATCTTTGATTTAAATTTTCGAAACTAAATAATTAATGCCAGTGGCATTACTTCGTAAATACTTGCCAACTCCAAGATTTATTTACTAAAAGTGTTCCAAAAATGTATATATAGAAGTGTACGTATACGTATATAGATAGCGAATCAAAATGTATGGAACGGTTACGTATATTGCTGAAGAAAGAAAATAAATACATGTCCAGCCTTTTGTGTCATAGTCCATAACATCAGTGGTGTTAAAAAATAATAAATTGAGAATTTAACCTGTAGTGTTCAAAAATAATAAATTAAGAATTTAATCCGTATTGAAGTAGTGGATTAATAATATTTAAATTTTTTATTAATATTGATTTAAATTTGTCCCACCATATAACTATGTCCCGTAATATAACTCATAGTATGTTATTTTAATTTGTTTATATTTTCAAATGTTACATAATATTATAAAACTTTTTTTTGTTGATTTTAAATATATCAATTATAATAGTTAAAACTTTTTATATTTTAAAATTTAATATTTTTGGTAAAATTAAACAATTTAACTAATAACCCAAATTAAACCGTATACAAACTTTTAAATTTGGATGTTTGTTAAGTTAAGCTTCCTGCTCATTCGAATTTGAATTCATTTTGATCTTATTTAAAATTATTGTCTAAACATTTTAGCCAATGTGGGATGTTAAACACACATTTTTCATTAGTTGAGTAATATATGTCCGTTTTTTAAAATTTGAATCACAATATATGTAAAAAAAAAGTTTTTTGAGATTTTGCTTAACTTTATGTATTATATGATGATTCAAAAAAGTTAAAAAAAAATCAAACAAAGATGATAAGAGAATTATAATTTTAAATCTTAACCAAATCTTTTAAATATCTTATATTATTAAATATGGAATATTATATGGATATTTTTATTTTATATTATTACATATGCAAGGAATATAGATGTTTCCGAGAATTAATATAGATATCCGGTTTACAATTTCGGATATGTTTTGACACGATCCAAGTAGAATACGAAGAAGGCTTGAATTTCACGGCTTCGCTCTGTAACCGGAAATTAATTGGTGCTAAGTTATTTCTGAAAGGCTTCGAAGCAGAAATGGGTCTGATCAACCATTCCGATGATGAGTTTAGATCTCCCAGGGATAGGCTCGGGCATGGTACTTACACAGTTACACTTCATCAACGGCCACTAAATCTGTAGTTAAAGGAGCAGCCTTTCTAGCATGCACCTCAGGTGTTGCTCGTGGAATGTCTCCACAAGCTCGGATTGCGATGTATAAAGCTTGCTGGCGTGGTGGTTTCTGCGTAAGTTTCGATGTTCTAGCAGCCATCGACAAAGCTATTGAAGATAACGTTAACATCTTGTCCTTGTCGCTCGCACTTAACAAATTGGAGTATGATAAAGACATCATCGCCATCGGTGCTCTAGCAGCCATTGAACGTGGTATTTTTGTGGTCGCAGTTGCTGGCAATGACGGTCCAAATCATGTTTCTCTCTTTCTTCTTGTTCTCTCCCCGTCAACTATGCAAAACGAATGACTTTTATCGTTCATATGGTTGGGGAGATGCCAAGGAGCTTTAGAGAAATCTTAGTGGTAAAAAGCTTTTGTCAGATCCATCTCAAACTCGGCGGAGATCATTTAGACGTACAATCATTCAACTCATGGCTTTAGGTTTAAGAAAAATACAACTTCAAAATAGATATAGTTCAACGAATCATTTAAAACAGTTTCTATTTTTCTTTTCATAATTGTTTATGTCTTTTATTTATGAGAATTACGAAAATCATAATAGGATATCAATTATATATTTAATCTAATTAATTTTTGAAATATCATATTAATTGTTTCAATGAATTTAATGATTTTTTCAATAACAACTTCAATGATATGTTATAGTTATTGAAAATGTTGAAATAAAAAAGGAAAAAATAAACAAGTTGGCAAAAAAAAAGCAAAACATAAGCAAAATATTAGCATAAACATAGAAAATAAAGATTTGAATTTGAAAAATTTGAACAACAAAAATGATTGTAAATTACCAACTTCACCAAATAATATAAAGATATGAGAGGCTCCAAGATATCATAAGCGATGGCTTAGATCTTTTGTGCTATGAACCAGAGCCATATAATGTCAATGAGAAGAAATCGTATTCGGTCATTTTCACCGTGAATCCATCAATGCCTTCGGGAACCAACATCTTTCGGAGCATAAGTGGTTGGATGGCACTAAGCTGGAATTAGGATTTAGTGGTAATGAAACTAAAGGGACTTATGAAAGAAGGTGTAACAGATATTGTAATACCCTCTTTTATGTGTTTTAAGTGTTAAGTTTAGAAATAATTTAGTCGTTGTTGGCATAAGTAACAAATCCTCGCAGCTAATCACTATTTTTTCAAACAGTAGGTCATGTTGACAAGCTAATATAAAGTTGCTTTTAAAAGAATATTAGAACGGTTGGAAACTTCAAATTGATGAGAAATAAGTTTTTGACTTATGAATGTTAGAATTATATCAAGTTTATTCGTTTGTTTTTTTGTATGAATGTAAAATTATACTTTCTCTGTTTCTAGAAGAATGATGTTTTGAGTTTTATACACCAATTAAGAAAAAATAACTTTTACATTTTTTTTATTTTTTTGTTAGTTTAATAATATGAATTTCACTTCTCTCCTCTCTATTGGTTACAAATAAAAATAATAATGATGCTATTCCAAAACATCAATCTTTGTGGAACAAGGAAAAAACCCAAAACATCAAACTATTAAAAACATAGAGAGTATTCAACAAAAAAACCATTGTTTACAATAAATGCAATTTTCTTTTTGAAAAGGCTTGAAAAGAGATTCAAAACAGCTTAGTTAGTCGTTTTCCATTGTTTTTTCTGCAATTCACCTTAATGTAGGAGAAAGAAAGAGGTTTATATTCTATATAGTATAAGAGTAAGATTAAAGCAGTATACCAGTGACCAATTCTCTTTCCACAGACATAGCTGGAAGCCTTGGTCCAAATTCATCAACGCCGACAAGAGGCATTTGGTCTCACAAGAGGTTTTACTTTGTTCTCTGTATCCTATTAGAAACAGAAACACTTTTTTCTATTGCCACGGTTTCTCTCTTGAGCTGTAACTTTGTTTTACAATGTAGGCGATTGATTACCTAGACAAGCTACTCCGGTATGATCATCAAGACAGATTAACTGCAAAAGAAGCAATGGTAAGTATCGTAACATAAATCAAACAAGTGTTATTACACTCTCCGTTTCTAAAAAATGTATGTTTTGAGATTTTTGACAGTTTTAGAAAATTATTATGATTCTATGATGAAACTATGATCCTTGTTATGATTCTTTATTGGTCTCAAATGTTAGCGGTTTTAAGTTTAGTTCTTTTAAGGTTGAGACCATCAAATGGTTGAGTGAGAATGTGAGATACAATTCTATAACCGAAATCCATCTGCATTTTGTTTGCATCTGGAAGTTCTTCTGTTTTTTTTTCTTAATCTATAATCTAGAACTAAGTTGTAACAAGGCTCAGATTACACACACATGGCATGTTTCATGTTTGAACATAATTATGTGTCTTTGATCATTTTGGTCTACGTCATGTTTACAAATTGATATTTTACTATCTTTTTTTTTTTATTCCCCAGCAGTATTTATGAAATTATGAAAACCAAAAGTCATTCAAAAACGATGCAACAATATTGAAACAGATCAGTGTTTTACTTATCAATACAGCAAAATAAAATTTCTTACAACTTGGAAGACTAATGGCCACCAAGCTAGATCACCTCTTTACTTTTAAAAAATAAGCAAGATCTGGAACAATATTTGAACCCATTGCACTCGAGAACTATTTTGTGTGGACTCTAGTTTGTAAGGATGGTTTAAGAACTCATAATAAAGAATAACTCTCTTTATTAATCACCAAAGAAAATAACTCAAAACTTTGGTCTCTCTCAATCTCTTAAACACAATCTCTCAAACTCTCTCTCTCTCAAAACTCATAAGGCATACCACAACTTAGTAGCTCTTATATATCGAACCCTCAAAACCTTTTCCAAAACCAATTAGGAAATATAACATATTCTAGATAACTCCTAGAACTTACATATGCATATTTGGATAACTCCCAAATATACTTAGCTTGAGCCTTAAGCTATTCAAGCTTATCCAACATTCTCCCCCTTAAGCTTGAAGCTACTTTCACTCACATCTTGAACTCCAATGAAACTCCTCATTAGTCCTTACACAAAGAAAATGTCACCGTCTCTTTCTTTGTGTTTCTTACGGCTCTCTTCTCTCTTATATGCTTGTATTTTGTCTTTAGGGTTCTTGGTCTTGTCTCTGTTCCTTTAATAATCAAGCATTACCGACTTGTATTGAGACTTCACAGTTTGGGCCACTTTAGAAGAAACCAATTCGGATTGGGCCAGGAAATGTGATTAAAGCCCATAACTTCACAATCTCCACCATGGGCTTTTGTCAAATTCAACTCTTTTCTTCACAAGCCCAGCCCATGAACCTTTCTTCCTCTCTTTCTTCTCCAACGATGGAGACGACCCGACAAGACTCTTCTTCTCCAATGACCAAAATTGAACACTATTCCGACGACGACAACTCCGGTCACCTCCATGTTCGCCGAAGACTTCTCCGACTCTACACCCAACACTTAAGAATCCTCTAAGACTTCTCTTTACCCGACTAAGCCGTCGTTTTTCTCTTCCTCCATGGCGAAACCGAATACCGATCTCTGCAACTCCGGTACCTATCAAACTCTTCTTCATCTCTACTATGACGACTTCAGTTTGATTTCTTCTGAGATTACAAATTTTCTGAAGTTTTTCTGAATTTTGATTCTTCATTTCACAGCTTCTCGGATGAACAAACGTGTGTTCTTCTTCTTCTTTGATGAGCTTTGGTAACCTTTGAACCAGTGATCATCTCCTTCACACTTTATCACTTCCGATTTCATAAACCCGTGAAATCATGTCTTTGATTTCACTATCCTCCTCACAGAAACTCACCTGGATCCTCTAGGTAACTCCATGAACCCATTAATCAATTCTAATTGTCTTCTTATCGACAATGAAAAATCATCTTGAAACTGACTTGTTTCCCTCAATAGCTTCTGTCTCAAGTCTCGGTAAAGCATCTTCTTCTACGGTGATCTCATCGTCATCGTTATCTTCTTCTTCTTCATAGCTTCAGAACTCCACAGGTAACTCCTTTTCTCCTTCTTGTTGTGTAACAACTTGTTTTTCTTCCTTACACATGAATCTACCTCACATAATGAACTCACCTAAATCTTTTCTTCTCTTTTCTGCGAGGTCATTAACTCACCCGAGTTACCTCGAGTTGCTTCTTCAGTTAGTGGATATTAAGAAGTTCACAGCCACGATGGAACTTCATACTAGGTACCACTTCCTTCTGAACAACTTCTCGAATCTCGCTTGTGTGAAACTTTGGTAGTGTCACGTCTTTTTTTTTGAAAAACTCTTCTCCTTTTTTTTTTTTTTTTTTTTTTTTTTTTTTTTTTTTTTTTTTTTTTTTTTTTTTTTTTTTTTTTTTTTTTTTCTATCTCAAATCTCATCTTAGTAACCATAGAACACTTCTCTAATGATCTCCGACATCTAACGATTTCTTCTTGAAGCCTTCCAATCGGATTAGTGGTCCACAAACACACGTTCCCATCAATTTCCCGAAAGGATCTTTGAGATCCTCTGTCTCTCTTAGAAGCATCATTACACAATAATTTTAACTCCTCTTCTTGTACTCTTTCTGGAACTGATTTAATTACAACAGACATTGACCCAAATTTCCAACCAATCGAAAAATCTCCTTCCTTTCTTCATCTTTTATCAATTCACGGTCTCCTTCCTTTCCAGTTGTAGTCTCTGTAGCAGCTCATGTTGCAGATGTGATTTTTCCACCATAAACAAAATAGGACCCTGAGTTTGAAGGCTTTCCATTGAATCCAAGACCATGTCGATCTGTTTTCCCAATGTTCAGAAGATGATCCAATTTGTCTGTGCCACTATTAAGCATTCTTAAATTCTTTTGAGTTTCTTCAAGTTGAATTCTAGCTTGTGATGCTTCTTCTTCTTTCTCTATTGCATACTTTTGTCCTTTAACAATTTGAATCTCTAACTTGACTTTCTCTTTAGTCAGCACTGAATTTTCCTCAATCAATTTAAGCCAATGCTCATACAATGCTTTGTAATTTCCAGCAAATTTTTCATCACCGATGCTTCCTGTCATGCTATCACTTTCTGTTGCAGGTTTTGCTGCAGTTATAGGTGCTGCTATAGGAGTTCTTGTCATATAGCGAGAATATCCACTACTAGTAGCCCCATGTTCTTTTGTCACAATTGTCATATTGCACCTAAATCCAAGCCCTCGTGTACTTCCTGACCTTCTTGATGTATCCTGATCCAGATCAGATTTTCTTGACATACTTTTTGATGCATACAGATCAGATTTCTTTACCCATATTTGACTACGATATCCATTCCACAAAAATTTTCCTTGACGTCTGAGTTTGTTTACTTTTTCCCAATACTTGTAGCAGTAAGCTCTTATGTGTCCTTTCTTTCCACAAAAATAACATCCAGTTTGTTTGATTGTATTACTCTCTGATTTGTCTTGTACTTGTTGAGCGACACCTCCTGACACAAACTTGATTTGTCCTGTGTTAGATCCTTCTTGTCCAATATAACCTAAGCCTCTGTTAGACTTCTCTGTTCTTCCATAACTCAAGATTGTATCAAGTGTTTTAGTCCCAGCAAACATGTGAATCTTCTTGTGTTGTTGATCAAGCTCTGATTGTAGTCGGGCTGATATTTCCTTCTCAGTACGTAAATCCTTCTCTAGATTGTCTACTTTAGCAGCAAGAGCCAGCTTGTCCTGCATCAATGTCAGACTCCTGTGATTTATTTTCTTCTCATCCTTCAATTCATTCTGCAGTGATTCAACAAGTGCATCAAGACAAATTTTTTCTTTTACCAAACCTTGATTCTCCTTTCCAATATTAATCAGTGCCTTACGAACTTCCTTGTAGCTTTCAACAAAGTCGTCTTCTTGTTCTTCTTCTGCATCAGATTCTGAAATTTCTTCTCCTTCTGAAGGATCTTTTCTTCCTTCCTCCTTTGTTTCTTTGATAACATTAATATCTCTCATACTTTTGATTGTAATCGAAGAAGCTTTTCCTTCTCTTCTTTTAGTCACAATGGCGACTTCCATCATAATTCTCTCTCAGGATCTCGAAACATGTGGCTCTGATACCATGTTAAATTTGGGCTAATTATGGGCTTCCAACTAAAAACCAATTGACAATTAGTGGATTGGCCCTAACCCTTTATATATTATTGATTGTCCCATCAAACTTTCGATGTGGGACTTGGATTGTATCTCCAACAATCTCCCCTTCAATCCAAGGACCACATGGATCTTAACACACCTCCTCGATCCCTCACTCGGACCGATAATAAGCCCCTTTCTCGGGCCCCCATTACTCGGGTTTGAGGTATGTCCGTATCCACTTTCTAGGTCCACCAGAATTTGAACCTTGGGCTCTGATACCAAATCTAGTTTGTAAGGATGGTTTAAGAACTCATAATAAAGAATAACTCTCTTTATTAATCACCAAAGAAAATAACTCAAAACTTTGGTCTCTCTCAATCTCTTAAACACAATCTCTCAAACTCTCTCTCTCTCAAAACTCATAAGGCATACCACAACTTAGTAGCTCTTATATATCGAACCCTCAAAACCTTTTCCAAAACCAATTAGGAAATATAACATATTCTAGATAACTCCTAGAACTTACATATGCATATTTGGATAACTCCCAAATATACTTAGCTTGAGCCTTAAGCTATTCAAGCTTATCCAACATGGACAACCCTTCTTTTCCACTCTTCGACACAACCCCAGAGAAAATCCACGTGGCGTTCATCTGTTTTCTTATCATCTGCGCCGCGTAGTAGGGAATCCTGAATCCTCTGCGTATTCGAATGCTCGAGTCGTTGATCAACGAACGCTAAACAATCCATCAAGCTCTCTCTCGCCGATCCTTTTAAATCGAACGCTTGAGATCTTCTCCACAAACTCTTACCGTGAGGATCAACCACACCAGATAAACACAAAGCCCTAGTAGTAGCACATCAGTACATCACTAATAGCAGACTCAGCTTTCTTCAACAACAAGTAACATTGTGCTCTATTGCTAAACAACACAACCCTATCTCTTATCACATCCAACGGACACAAATCAATCCCAACTGTGTAAATCTCCATCGCTTCTTTAACAAAACCCTTCAAAAACTTCTTCTTCCCTTGTTTCTTTAACGATTTCACCATCTTAAGAAATAATATTGTCGTTGAACTTAGGCCCAGTTTAACTAAGCAACCAATAAAAAAGATTAAAACAGAACCCTGATTTGTGTAGTTGAATCATACCAAGTAATTATTGGCCTGCCAACAGGAAGAAATTTTTTGCAGCAAATAAATTAACATCACCATGAAATAAGCTAACATAAAAGTTGGCACAAAAGTATAAGAAAATATCTTAAATTTTATTATTCATTAAAAAAAAAAACGGTACGACCAAAATAGGTTTCAATCGGAAAACAAAACAGACATAGCAAATTATTGAAAGAAAGATCAAACTGAATCATGTAGAAGAATAACACAATATTATCATCATCCGACTTGAGGACGATTAAGGACAGGACCGTTGGGGACAATTATCGGCAGGAAGACGAAGAAGGACACGGTTACAACAATTGATGGTTAAAACACCAACACCTTGTGGAACTAAAACACAAGTCACTTTTGGATTGTCATGTTCGATGATTCTCTTAGCTTCAAGTCCACTTACTCCTTTTAGTTCTGGCCATTCCACCTTCAATCCTACACACAATAATCCCAAGACCACTAATCTTTTGAGATTTCTTTATTAAAAATATATGAATTCTTAACCTATTTTCTATACATAAAAATCCGCTATTTGTCTATGTTCTATCAACCGGCAAAAATAAGAAAACAAAAACTTAAAAACAGTACCTGGAAATAGATATTGGCACGTAATGCCAGCGCAGTCACAATTTTCACAATCAATATGAGGGAATGGACACTTAAAACTCATTTCGAAAAATGGTTGATATTTTGAGTTTTGAGTTAATTCTTCTTATGATTGTTTTTCTTCATTTTGGGTTGGTCAATATATATAGTACGTTGTTGACCAAAAGAAAGAATTAATGGTGATATCCAAGTGTATAATAGCGAATCAGTTTTTTCTTTCTCAAAGATATCTTAGCTTTTTTTAGTATCAATCAAATATTTTACTTTTACTGATATTAATGACGATTGATTTTAGCATTAGGAAACTTAGCCTAATTAGTGGTCAATAGAGAATAAATTTTTTGTAACATATTTTTGACGTCTTTATATATATAAGAAGATCTTTGTCATTGTTACATTAAATAGTACCTTTAGTCAAGTTGTTCAACTCCAAATAATCGTGTTGTAAGAATTTGATTATAGATCGTGTTTTGTCGATCCAAATGATAATAAAAAAAAAAAAAAAAACATACAACCACAGTTTCATCATCTATCACTGATTATTAATCACTCATTCATTCTACTTGAAGACGATTAGCGAATTGTTGAGGGGGAACACGAAGAATGACACATTTACAACATTGATAACTACAGAACAACTACTTCCTTCGAATTTTGATTTTCAACCGTCAGATTTTCCACTCTTCGACACAACCCCAGAGAAAAAGCCACGTGGCGCCCATCTGTCTTCTTATCATCTGCACCGCGTAGTAGGGAATCCTCTGCGTATTCGTATGCTTGAGTCGTTGATCACCGAACGCTAAACAATCCATCAGCTCTCTCTCGCCGATCCGTTTAAATCAAACGCTTGAGATTCTTCTCCACAAACTCTTACCGTGAGGATCACCCACACCAGAATAAACACAAAGCCCTAGTAGCATCACGATAGCAGACTCCGCTTTCTCAACAACAAGTAACACTTGTGCTCTATTGCCTAACAACACAACCTATCTCTTATCATATCCAACGGACACAAATCAATCCCGACTGTGTAATCTCCATCGCTTCTTGTAATAAAACCCTTTAAAAACTTCTCTTCCCTTGTTTCTTTAACGATTTCACCATCTTTCTCTTTCTTCAAGCTCTTGTTTCACCTATAAGCTTCTCTTTCTTCGTCCTCTTCTACTTTAATCTCCATAGATTCTCTATACTTCTATGAGCTTCCTCTGTAGTCAGCTTCAAGCCACTATACTTAATCTTGTGATAATCTTGTAAAACTACTGAGCTACTCTGTCTCCAACAACTTTATCTTCTGCTAAATCAACCAAACAATGACCTAAAACATCGATAACTCGATACCTAACATTTGAGTCTTTAAGAAGCAACAAAAGGGTATCTAAAGCAGTTTCTTTCCAATCATCAGACGATCTCGAAAGATCGCAAAGTCTCTCAATAACTTCTCTAACCTCACTAACTCTCTTTCTCCCCAACTCTGTTTTACAAAGAGTCTTTATCAATCCAACTCCTCCCGGAGACTTCCGGTTTACTAAACCACCCCACATTTCAATCACTTTCTTCAAGAACCCTCCCTCGCAGATTCGATCAATAGACTTACCTCGCGATGCGAAACTATTCAATAGAAATAAAGACCAACATTGTAGCTGAATCCCCCATTCCTCTGCTTTTTGATTCTCTGTCTCAAACCCACCAAGCCCTCTCGTCAACAAATCGCTTTGATACTTTAACCTCTCTCTATCTTCAACCCCAAGGAAGCTTTTATAAACTCTTTCCAAACAATTAGTAGCTATCTCCATTGAAAGCTTCACAATTTCATCTTCGAATAAAGAAATTGCTTCAAAGCTCTTCTCATGGCTAGCTAAGTGACCAAGTGCTCGAGCCGCGGCTCGCTGCTCAACCCAACTGATCTTCCCTCTCAAAAGCTCCAACAAAGCAGGAACAACAAAGACCTTTGAATCAACCGCTATGGCAGCTAAATCTTCTTTGTTCATAACATACGATCCGATGATATGAGCTGCGTAATAAGGAATGAATATGTTCTGGTCTTTGAGAAGCCAAGCTGTGTTTTTGATAGATTTATGTATGAGTTTTGACATACACTCGAACAAACCTAATGATGGGAACTCAGGATCGTCAGGCTCGGACATGGCTATGTTCCACAAACCACTCAAGACCAAGACATGGTCTTTTGACTCCGTACGAGGAATCTCTTTGAAGATTGCAGCGAGTTTCGATCTTCGACGAAACGGGTTGGTCTCTTTCATGCTGCAGAAGAAACATGACGGGTTTGTGCATTGTGGTTCATCGAATTTGAGCATCTTCTTCTTCTTTAATTTGGCTTTTGGTTTTTCAAGGAGATAACTAATAAGAGACACTAATCACTCACTTATGCTTTAAGGCCAAAAAAGACCACACAAGTTTTTCTCTCTTTTGGATGAATTAATTTTTAATTGCAAACACATAGGAATATTAATCACATAAATATTCGCCGGCGTGGAAAGTTTATGGCGGCTCCTCTTTTTAGCCTTTAACTTTCCACTTCAAGTTCCAAGATTATTACTTAATAATAATAATAAGCTATAACGTAATGAATCAGAATACTAATGTTTCGTGTTCTTTACCCAAAATTAGGTAGAACAAGAAACCAAAAGGTTTGTGTTCACACAAACTCTAGTTATGTAATGGAATCATGGACAAATCCATGGTGGTTTTGACATAATGATGTTATCAACTTATCCATTTATAGTCCAAATTTGTGTCTTGCCTACATACTCAAGATTTGGGAATGTAAAGAGAAAGTGAAATTGGATTTGCGGTCCCCTCAAGAAGTAAGCCAATGAAAGTGAAGAAACTGTTCCTGAAGAAAAGCTTTGTCGTCGTCTACAAATATCAAAGTGTTTTGTTTGGGTCTCAAGAAAATGCGGCTACCTAAAAAGTCTCTCTTTAATTATCACTAATATTTGGTCTTTACAGGTAAATTAATTATCACTAACCTGACTCATCTTCCATGTTAATCATTTCTTTTTCAAAGATTCGAAAATCAAGAAAGAGCCTTTTGTAGGAAAAACACTTCAGAGTTCAGACTAAGTTCTCGACTTGACATGTGTATGTGTCGGATAAAGTTTCTCAAGATTATTAAAGAAACCAAAACAGAGTTTAGTTTAATCACGGTTAGATGTTAATCGGCGTGCGTGAGACTTTTTGATTCTTGTGCACAATCACATGAATAAACTCCATAAGAAAAGATCAAAAAGATTTGAATTTAGAATCAAATAGGGTCTAATGACTCATATAGAACAAGAAAGATAAGAGCCTATGATATGGTTCTAAGTCACATAACTGTGCACAAAGTCTGAAACCTATGCTGGTCTCATAATTCTCAAAGAGCCAAATCCAAAGAGTTAGTAGAGAGAGAGAGAGGGAGAAGAATAAACGGAATCTACCAATTTTACTATCTTTGGAGAGCTTTATGGACATGAGTTTTAGCTGATCAGGTAGGAAGATAAGGCTCTGTACAGAGAGAGCTTCAGTGAGAAGTTTTCCGCTTCTTGCTGACCGGTGTAGGAACTTCTTCTGCATCTGCTTCTTCCGGAGGCACGCCTGTAATCTCATTGATTAGCTTCCTGAAATAATCAAGCTTCTCGTCGTCCGCTTCCATTTCATCATCATTCATCTCTGTTTCATCCATTAGCAGCTGCACAACAACCATTCAAAGATTTTTTCAAATTCTTTTTCAACTCCTAACAAACATTTCATTAATAGGAAAATTATTGAATAAACACTTCTTACGTCTTCAAGGATAGGGTGAAATCTCAAGCTTTGAGATGAAATTGGAGAGTTGTTAGTCAAACGTTGCCCAGCAATTTGTGTCTGAGGCACCAATAGATGTTCGATATGATCAGCAGGTATACATTGTCTACCAATTGGTACACTCGCCTCTCTCTGCCTACGAGCCAACGGGTCTTCAATAAGTGCACATTTCTTGCCATTTTGTATCGTAGAGTCTCTATGACAGGGAGCTACCGTTTTAGGCATTGATGATGTATGAGCAGTCTGAGAATCCCACATCAACTGATCAACACGCTTCCTCAATCTTCTTGCTTTTCCCTGTGCCTCATCAATCTTACACAGAAGCTTTGCAAGTACATCATCAGAACAATCTAACTCAGAAATAAGACTATCATCTTCAATTCCATCTTGCTTGCCCGTAGCTTTGCAGCCTGTACCAAAATCTAACATAATGTCGATGATTCAGTGCTAAAATCCCATTTTTAACCAGACAACTTAACATCAAACAAACCCCCCATTTTGAGAAAATGGAACAAACTTACCGGAATCAAGATACTGCGCTTTAACGTTTACCGGCACCCGCTTGTCTGATAACAAGATCACAAAGTTATACCATTGTTATCGCGATAAAAAGAAAGTTAAAAGAAACAAAGAAAGCCGCAATGTCGACATACCAGCATAAGAGAAAAGATTATGGTTAGACATATAAGCAGCAACATCTGTACTCTCTTCCACTCGTTTCCTTCTTCCTCTCTTAAAAACATTCATCCTTTGTGTTTTTTCACGAAAAGGAATCGATTTCCCATCAAAGCCTTCCAATTTCGACTTCTCCAAATCAAACTGTTTAGTCAAATAGTAATCTTTAACTTCTTTCTCATACCCTCTAGCTTGAGACTGAATCTCCTTAACCTTAAGCTCTATCCACTTACATCTCCACATTAAAGGCCTAGTCAATCTCCTCCACCGATCATTAGTCTTCTTCTTAGTCAAACCCAAAATCTCAGTCCCATCATCACAAGTTCCAGGTAATGGATAATCTTGACTTAACATTGATTGTGCTTCATCACCAAAACCAAAACCAAAATCATCACCATCACGAGCACACATTGAATCACCAAAAGAACTCGAAGAAGAAGAAGCTTGACACAAATCCTCTTGAAACTCATCATCACTCTGATTCACGCACTTCATGATATCAACTTCTACGTCCTCTTCTTGAAACCTACCTCCATTAACATCATCTGATTGTTGATTTGCAGAACAACCAGAGATATCCATTTCAGATCTTGGCTTTGCTTTAAGCGCCATAAAGCTTTCGACTTTCTGAAAAAGAAAACAAAATCAGACCAAAAAGCTTTAAACTTTAATGAAATCTAAACGATAAAGCAGTGAAATTGATCTTACTGATCCCAAAGGCTAAGAGTGGTTCAAATCTTATGACCGAGAAAACAGGAAAGTGAGAAACTTTCGGCGAAATTGGAGTGATTAGCTGAATCTTAGAGGATAATCACACCAGCCCGAAAGAGATTTTTGAAGATAAAAATAAAAATCTTTTATGAGTGAATCCAAATTTCTTGGAGTCTTAAACCCTAAACCCTAGGCAGGCCCGGCCCAGAGGGCAAGCCATTGAAGCCATGGACCTCAAAATTTAAAGCCCTTTTAAACTATAAATTTTTAAAATTTTCTTCATATTATAAAACCTATAAATATTTTTGTAGAGTCTTTCAATAAAAACTTATGAGCTTTTAAATATAAAGTTACAAATTAATTATTATCTTTAACTGTAAAATTATAATTCAATAAAATATGTTTATCTTGACATAAGAAACACTTGTTTGCTTAAAATATATAGATTTCAAAAAAAAGAAAAAAAAAAACTTTTTCATTAAATCTAATATCTTGGCTTTGATTTTTAATTTTTTATGAAAAAATTTGTCAAAACATAAAGGTTTAATGTGATTTTATTTATATGAAAAGGGTATGTTTTTTAAGATTTTGCGTAGGACATTTCAAATTGTCGGACCAGCACTGACCCTAGGAGATATAGAAACATAGAAGAGAGAAGAAGATACTCACCAACTATTTCCGATAGACCGGCAATTTGATCGATATTACTGAATCTAAAATAATATTTTAGAGGTTTTTAATCCTTATTTAATTTGGCAATGTTGTTGCAAAACATTATTTTGATTTTTGTTTTTTATATATGTAAAAACCTGTTAATAATGATTTTTCTAAAACATTTTTTTTGGTTTTGCTAAAACTAATTTATTCAATATTCTTTTTCCCTTTTTGGTTTCTTTAGTTTCCCTATTTTGAGATTTTTCTTGATTCTCAAATGATCTTTCTAAATTTTTTGACAGCAGGAGCAATTAATATATTGCTGCCTAAAAAATACTAAATGGATTCCTTTTTTCTCTTGGTCAAATTCAAAACATTTGTGTCCATTTTTAGGAACTGAATGTGCATGGTCACATCTGCCGAGAACACAAACTGTTGAATCCTCAGCTATTGCATGGCCGGCGAAGACCCACGTTGACCAGCAAAAATATTTAAAAACTATATTTTTATTTATTTTTAAAATTAAAAACAAAGAAAAAAAATAGTTTTATTTGGTGTTGTGTAATCAAAAAACACATTCTATATCCAATATAAAGATATTTTTATATATATTAAATGCATTAGATCTTATAATATTTAGTTTTTTCAATTTCAAAACTAAACTAAAAGAATAATAAAAACTAATTTATAAATTTTTAACATATGAAAATATAAATTAAAACTCGATAAATCTTATTATAATCGATTAAGTAAGTAAATTGTTTCTTTTTATATTATCTGTTAGAGATTTGATGATAAAAATCTGTTAGAGTAAATCCAAATTTCTCGGAGAGTCTTAAACCCTAAACCCTAGGCAGGCCGGACACAGAGGGCAAGCCACTGAAGCCATGGATTCGGACCTCAAAATTTAAGGGTCTTTTAAACTAAAAAATTGTTAAAAAATTTCTTAATATTATAAAACCTATAAATATTTTTGTAGGGCCTTTTAATAAAAACTTGTAGACTTTTAAATACAAAGTTACAAACTAATTATTATCTTTAATTGTAAAATTATAATTCAATAAAATATGTTTATCTTGACATAAGAAACACTATTTTGCTTAAAATATATATATATATATATTTCAAAAAAAAAAACCTTTTTCATTAAATCTAATGTCTTGGTTTTGATTTTTAATTTTTTACGAAGAAATTTGTCAAAACATAAAGATTTAATGTGATTTTATTTATATGAAAAGGGCAAACTTTTTAAGATTTTGCATAGGGCACTTAAAATTGCCGGACCAGCACTAACCCTAGGATATATAGAAACAGAAAAGAGAGAAGAAGATACTCACCAACTATTTCCGAGAGACCGGCGATTTGATCGATATTACTGAATCTAAAAGAATATTTTGGAGGTTTTTTATCCTTATTTAATTTAAAATATAAATTAAAACTCGAAAAATCTTATTATAATCAATTAAGTAAGAAAATTGTTTCCTTTTATATTATCAATTAAAAAATATTAACTTCTTATGTATTAAACCTTACTTAAAATATCAATATTGAATTAAATATTTTTTACCGTGCAAAATTTAGACTAAATAGTTATACATTCAATTGTTTTGCATATTCCTAATGAAAGTCATATGTATTGTGTTTGATTCTAATGATTTTCATTGTAGGAATTTTTTTGTTGTTGAAAAATATTAAGTAGTAGAATTATTTTGTATTTAAATAAATCAAATAAGAAGTTAATGTCTTTTAATTGACAATGTAAAAATGAGCAATTCCCTTAATTAATTGATTCTAATAAGATTTTCCAGTTTTAGTTTAAATTTTAATATCTTAATTTATTAATGATTTATATTACACTTTTAGTTTAGTTTTGAAAATGAAAAAAAAAAAAAAAACTAACTACATTAGTATAAGAATTAATGCATTAAAAATATATATACAAAAGGAGATCTTTTTTCCATAATAAAACAATAAACTAAACCAAAGGAGAAGTTTCATAAATTAAAACGAAAAGTTGGCATTATTTACTAAACAATAAAGATCAGTAAGACAGTTGGGATTCTGTTTTTTTTTTCTTGAATAAGACCAAACAGCTTTGCTTTTGTATGAAAAATATGAGAATATAAAAATAAGGTACCACCAAGTTCTTTATGATATAAGTTGCAGTTCTTGCTCAGCTACTATAGCTTCATCAACAGGTTTGTATGGAATTGATGTTTGTTTCCGTTTCCATATCATCCAAGCTCCATAAGCTGATAACCCGATAATTACAGCGACGATAATCCCAATCGCGATCATGACAATGTTGTTATTCGTCCTAGAAACGAAATGAAAAGAAATTTTCTTTTTGAGACAATGGAGTGATAATCTTTTAGCTACGGTTAAGAATGAATGGCGCATACCGTTTTCTTGGAGGCTCGAGTTTGTAATTAACCAGCTGATAGTTTCCGTAGATTTCAGGAAGCTTGATTTGATGATTGGTAAACCGGGATACTATATTCTACAAGAAGCATAATGGAATGTCATGTGAGAGGATAAAAATTGAGCAATGTAAGGAGAAGTCTGTTGTATAATCAATACCGTTGCTGTGACATTCGAAAACAAAGTCGAAGGTTCAGGAGGAACAACAACCATTCTGATGAGAGACTCGTTTCCTTTGGAGGTGAGATTCGATAAACTGACCTGTGACAGAGACATTTTCACCCAATATTAGCAAACACAGTGCTTACGGCTTTACAAGTTATTGTGTGTTTATCAGTTTGGCTCACCTGTGAAGATTTGACATCAAGCTCCTTGGATAATAACTTGGAGAGCTCTTCAATGTGAGGTTTCAGATAGGACGAATTGACTGTTAGTTGCAAATCAAGGTTTATTTGACCAATTTGAATCTCCCCTGAGGAAATAAGTGCCACACCGTCAAAAACATCAGGAGACACAGAAATAGTTTCTTTTTGAGTATGTACTTTCCTAGACAAAAGAGTGAAGATGAAATCTATAGCCGTCATGCTAACCTTGAATATCGCTTGATGAATTGCGGGATGGATTTGAACCATTTGAAGGCAAAGTAGCAGGTGGTGATACACCATCGATATGAAGCCTATGCGATAACTCCGAACAATTGGTTCTCCAGAATCCAACCTTAGAATTCTCGCGATCATACACAACAAGTGTATTGCGAACCACAATTCCTGATAATATAAGATAATTTGTTACCAATAAATCTGTTGGTAATAAAATGAAAACAATTGAAGGTAGCCAGAGAAAAATAACAGAGTCAGACATCTATTTACCTCCTAAAAGCGTAGTATGATCTTTTCCATTTGGAAAAACACCGAGACAGTATGCGCCATGCACCTTGGAATGCTTTTGTTGAACAAAAAGTAATCACATCAGAAACTTGATATCAGTTGCTGATTTGAGGCTAAATCAACACCAGACACAGAGAGACGATAATGCCAGCTATAGAGGTAAATCAACACCAGACAGAGAGACGATAATGCTAGCTATAGAAATCAAATGTAACTTCATAAGAGGTTTAGGAGCCAAATTCTTACTCGAAACATGTAATTTTCAGGGGACAACAGCCATGATTGCCCACTCTTAAATATCATCTCGACCGATGGGAATATCTTCGAAAGTTCAGTGACATCATTACTTCAGCATAAACAAATCTAACAGTCAGTTACTTCCCTTGATTGAAAGTTATGATATAGATCACAAGTTTGCAAGAGATAACAAATACCTTGCAGCGACAAGGAAGCAAGTATCTTTAAAATTTGGATCAGGACCATCAATCTGCTTCAACGGGGAAACTTCTCTCATTACCTTCAATAGAATAAGATAAGAGCTTAATGTAAGAAAAGGCACACAGAAACAGGGAACTTCTCCAAACATTAACAATTTTCAGAAGAGTCTTACAGCTTCCTCAAATGCTGCAAATGCTGCGTCAGGGAGATAAGCATATGTTGTACCACTGTCTAAAACGGCGCCATGTTCCCCATCAAAGACCCTCGAATTAAGCGACAATTGCTTCCCAGCAACACGTATCCCCGTCAAATCTATATTGTAATATGGACTGTCGCCATCCCGAAACTAGAGTAAATGTGTGAAAGGTATTAAACGTATTTGTTAGGATTATACAAGATCCCATTCACCAATCAGACAAAACATTCCCTTGGAAACATACCTACGATCAGGGTCAGAGTCCGTGAATATCATATCAGATGGATAATCAAACCCGCCAAGAATCATCGAACCTCCACCAACATCCATCCCTCCATAACACAAACCAAAAGAGTTGCTAATCAAACCTTTATCCACCAACTGATCCACAAGACTAAGATCCCCTTGACCTAATCCGATAATACCATCAGCACGTTGACTATAAAGATCACCGGTTTCAACAGTTTCGCAACCGAAAACAGCTCGTTGAGGTGTCAGCTGGCTTTCATTGCCAAATGATATAAGATCTTCTCCAAGCACACCTTTACTACTACTATGTTCCGCATACTCTCTCTCGTAAACACATTGCTCCTTATCATCATCACAATTACAGTCCATGTTACACTTCACAGGTTGATAAGTACTCGACAATTCTGGCTGAAATTTTGGGTCCTGATGAATTAATAACCATAAGAAAGTTTCAAAATTTGAACTTTACAAGAGACAAGACACAAGATTTGATCTTTTGGAGAACTGAGCATTACCTGGTGTTTGCCACATTGTTCACAATCAGAACAAGGAACATAAGTAACAGTACTTCCAGAATCAACTATAAGAGCAAACATTTGTGGTGGTGTACCAATCCAAAGCCTCGTTGTATAATACCTACAAATTTGATAATATAAAAGAGACATCTTTACACGACCCAGATCGGGAAAAAGGTGTTTTTGTTTACCCGTTAATAAGAAGATCGTCGTAGAGTCTCATGCGAGAGTGAGGCAGTGATTTTGAGTCGGATTTGTGGAGTTTCCGATGTGGGATTGAGATGGATCTCGAAGAAGAATTTGGTTGAGAGAGGAACAATGGGAACACCATGGGACGTCGTGATCTAGCGGCGGGAGATTGGTGGAGGATGTTTTCACCAGCTGTGATTGAATAAGGAAGAGAGAAGAAATAGATCAGGATTGAGACTGTGGCGCCGATTGATGAGATCGACGGCAGTGCCATTTGATCTCCGGTTGAATTTCCGATGTGATTTGACCGTTCCGCCGGAGAAAATTGGAGGGGAATCAAAATAGCCGAGTGAGAGAAGAGGAGAGACTCGAACGTAACTTTAGATCTACGGGAACCAAAAGCAGCTTTTGCTTTTGAGACAAATCCCAGCAATGAAAAACGACGTAGTTTTGGGGTTTTAACGCGCTTTTCTAATCTTTTCTTTTAACCATCACTGTACAAATGTTTATCTTGAAAATTTATTAACTTTTTTGTAAAACTAGAGAAAATATGAATTTAGACATTCTAAACTGTCAAATAAATAATTATGTTAGAAAAATCTGATTTGACCATGTAATGGTTTATACAAAAATCAAGTTATCAAACAACCCATAGAAATTATTCTAGAATCTATACCTTGGTTATGTGATGTTACAAGGTCTCACTAGTCCCGATTACTATATAGCGCTATTACTATATGAGGATTTATATAAACATGAAATTAGTCTAGAGAATATGTAAGACTATTTCATGTTATTCTACTTTTTGTTGACTAAACTCAGTATAGGTCGCATTGCATGATAATGTCTCACTAACTAAGGTTAAATTTAAATTTAGTTACTAACTCGTTATAGATTTTGGTTCTATATCATCCACACCAGTAACAAAAGAGACATTTGAGATTTAAGATTATTCCATAGAAATTTTAATTCCTCTGTACATTTTTTTTAATTTATTTAACCATAAACCCAAAAATGAATGCTTTTGAAAACCCCCAATCGATTCGAGTTCCTAAACCAAAGTCCAAAACTACTCAACCTTAGGTGTTATTATCCCACAATCCCTAAAACCTCCGACGACGAATCCACCACCACTCGTTCTCTGCATCTCCGCCATGTAACTCCTCACTTCAGCTTTAATCATCTCCTGCACCACCGTCATAAACTCACCTCTACGTCCTTCTCCTCCTCTCTCCTCTACATTAATCTTCATCTGACTCTCAAATCTCGGAAACATCAACGCGTTGTTGTTGTTATTGTTATTGTTGTTGATGTAGCTCGAACTCGTGTTCTCAGCTCCAGGTAATGACAAACTCAACGAAGTCGTCGGATCCTCCGAAGACGAAGACATTTCCACCGGTAACGGCGGAGGGGGAACACCGGAGAATCCGCCGGAAATCGGCATTGGTTTAAAAAGCTGAGCAACAGGAGACGACGGAGACGGAATCGTGCTTGAATCACTAACATCGAATCCATTAGGACTCTCAGGGCTCATGTACAATCCAGTACCCACCGGAGCAAAAGCAGAATCAAAGCTAACAGATCTCCTCTTCTTCGGCCGATCCTCCTCCTCCTCCGTCTCCGTCACCGTCATCCCCGTCACCGCCACACCTCCGCTACATTTCCTCTTAAGCGTCGAGTTCCAGTGATTTTTAACGGCGTTATCCGTACGACCGTTGAGAAGACGAGCAATCGTGGCCCATTTGTTACCAAACTTAGCACGAGCCGTTACAATAGTCTCATCCTCCTCCGGCGAGAAAGGACGATGCTCAACCTCCGGAGATAACTGATTACACCACCGTAATCTACACGATTTACCAGATCGACCTGGAATCGATTTGCTAATCGCCGACCAATTCCTCGGACCGTATTTCTCCACCATCCTACGTAGCTGCTCATCTTCTTCTTGACTCCATGGACCTTTAACACGATCCGCCATTGAAACAGATCTTTTTTTGTTTGTTTAGAAGAAGAAGAAGAAGGTGGAGGAAACTGAAGAGAGGAGAAAAATGGTATTTATAACAGAGAAGAGGATAATAACCGGTAACCGGTAGAGACGGTGGAGAAAGTCATGGCCTTAAGAGCACCGCTTCTTCCACGCAAGCGGTTTTGAAAGTTTTGGGATACAGCTGTAGGTGAACACGTGTCGTGATCTAGCTGCGTCTGTTTTTTTGTTTTATGGAGCGTGTGATACAGTCGAGGGAGAGAAAGCGAAAGAGAAGTGGGAACACGCGCGTGAGAGGCGCGTGAGAGGCGAGTGGGGTAAGTTGGGAAGTTAAAGCGACAAAATCACGGAAACCTACAAGGAAAGGAGCTCTGATATTATTCGCACAATCTGAGGTGAAAAATTAGAAAGCTGTTTTGAATTTTATTTGAAAATTAATTAATAAAATATCTGAAACGATAACGGTTAGGTTTGGCCGTTTGGGTAAAGACAGTTTTTTATGCAGATTTCTGACTTTTTTGACTGGACACGCCAGCCTGTATACCAATTTACCTTTTTAAAAACTTTTCCTTTTATTTATTTTGGAGAATACAAAACGTTTAATTTGAATATTTGTGAACTACACAAGGTTTAAAGTAATGGACCGGGAAATATTGGAGAATAAATTTGATCAAAGTTTTTTTTTCTCATATATTCAATTTTTTTTGTTAATATAATGTGTTATGTTTTAATTGACTAATACATTTAAATAATAAAAATAAAATTGGAAATTTTGTCAAAAATTTGCATGAAAGTATAAAACGACATTTCATCTGACACAAAAATTAAAATCGAAAACGACATATAGTTTGAAACGGAAAAACTTTTAATTAACTTTTTAAAAATAGTTTGACTGACAGAATTTAAAACTATACTCGTAACGCTCTGAAACGGTTGAAGTTAAAAGTTAAAACTATATTCGTAACGCTTCTGAACACTGAAATTACTATTCTGTATACTTTTGTTTATTCGTAACCGTTACGTTTTAGTATATTATTCATACAGTATTTTTTTTCTTTATCTATTGCGAGAATACAAAACGTCTAATTTTGAATTGTTTTTATATCACATATGTTTAAAGTATAAGTATGGAGCATGTACTAATGAAAAATTGAATTTTGATTAGATTTTTTTGTTAGTATTAACTATTTTATTTAACTTGCTGAATACTGAATAGTAAAGACTGATTGTTAACGACTGTTGTTTTTAGTTTTAGTTGTTGAAACTTTAACCGCATATATTTTAGATATATAAATTTTAACTGTTAAAATTTTAAAGCTTTGAAAGTTCTTATCAATCATCTCATAAATTAATTTGTTTTATTTTTTTGACTGAAAAAGTTTAGTTTTAAACTGCTGAATGCTACAAATTTGGGGATAGTAGCGAATAGGAAAAACTGTTAATTTTCATTATATAAAAAATGTTTATAGAAGCTGTCAAAAAAAAAAAAATGTTTATAGAAATGTGGTTCAGTTCAGTTTTTTTTGTTTTCGTTTTTTTTGAAAGACCACTTGTAATTAGGTAGTTTTTAATGTCCCAATTCAAAGTCATACTCCATTTAGGAAACTACATTTATATGAATAAATACGATTAATATTCTCTGTTTCATAAACTTGTTACAAAGAAACGGCCACACAAGATAAAAAGTAAGTGGTCGGAAAAAAAATAAAAACATTTAATTTTGATGACATTAAGAAAACGACAAAAGAGTGTTAGGCAAATTAGAATGTGAATGAAATCATTTTAATTTATAATATACTGTAGTATAGTTTTTGATTGGCAAAAATCCAGGCTGTAATCCTCAACAAACAACTAACTGTCGTCCATTAAGCAAACTGCCACGTGCCAGTTTTTTGGACTGTTTTATTTGAAATTGTGTGTAACTGTCTCTAACGTTAGTAACGCACTTTAAATAATACTCTCAACGTCATTTGCACCTTCTTCCCAACCTTCCTCGAACGGTTTCACAACTATTTTTTTATTTTATCTTTTTCCGTCTTTTATGTCAAATTAGTTACAAACTAATTTCAAAAACGAATTTTGTAATGTCAAATTGTAAACGAATTACCGAAATTATTTCAGTTTTGTTGTTGTTGGTTTTCAGTTTACTGACCAAACTCTCTTTTAATGGTTATTTTCATATTTATACACTTTTTTATACAAAGTCCGGTTCTGAAGAGAACCAGACAAAATATTGATCCTTAAATTTTAGAGAAGTAATATACATAGATTATCATTATTTTATATATCTTTGAATCGACAAATGTTCGATCTATAATCAATTCCTATTACGTATGTAATACGATTTAGTGGAGTCGAACTAAGTAAGTAGAATAAAAAATACTTAACTATTTGACTAAAAACACATCCTCTAGATCATCATGTCTCTATAAACATAAATATATATATATATTTATATATCAGTTTCTAAAATTGTAAATGTTTTTGTCCCACAAAACTCAAAGTCGGTTCTACTTATATACTCACTTCTTGATAAAAATTAACTATAATATTTACTTTTTTATGTAGTTTATTTTACATTCTATTTAAGATTTCTAACATGTCCTATTTTTTTCGTGTAAATTATATAAACATGAAGAATGTTACAAATACCAACGATCAACGAAATAATAACATTTCTTATTCAAATAATGGTTTTCTTGGTCTATTTCGAATCGAAATCCATTCTATGTTCCACAAAAATATTTTGTTTAAGATATTTTCATTGGATTAAATGAATTAAACTATAATATCATGTTAAGTTTTATAAAATATCTAATCAAAATAATTGACAATAATGTATCATAGCTAGGTACTTGGATTTTGTTTCAAAAAAAAAAAAAAAAAAAGCTAGGTACTTGGATCAAACCTGGCTTTAATACCGCTTCATTGGCTTATAATGTAAAACTGAAATGAGAATTACTAAATTAGTAAAATGGTTCGTGTCACTTAATACATTATTAAGATCCATTTTACTTCCGATCTAACATTTTATTTGGGTCAATGTATAATTGACACGTACTTTTGCTGTACACTTAGCTAGATTTTGAAAGATGCACGTGAACATTTGGTGAACACATATATCTGAGAGACGGTGCACGATGAGGAATAATTCCAACAATGTGGGTCTTAGAAAAATTGTAATTAAAATATTGGTAATAGGTTGTTGTCAAAAGGAACAAGACGGTGCACGATGTGTGAATATATAAATTAAAGTATATAATTTGCTGTTTGTTGTTACGTTCCATGCTTCGATTGTCGGGTTTGTTCTCCTAATTTTTAATTAATTTTTGTAAGGTTTGCCTAACATAAAAATCGTTCGATATATCTAAACAACGATAAGCTTTAATTAACAAAAAGATAATACTAACACACGGTGGTAGATTAGTCGGTGTAAGAGGCGAAAAACAAATGTATGACTGAGTTCATTGTATCATTTGAGACTTTCGAGTTGATAGACAAACCCCAATTCGTTTAACATTTAGTGGAATATTATATGAATGAAAATTGTTAATTTTGTCCCAAAAGAATTCGCATGAATATGTTCCCTACACATATACAAATAAGTTGTAACATTTAGGATAAACTGTATTCGAATTAGGATATTAATGGTGTTGCCGTGATTCATATAGAGTGATAGTTGTTCCATTTAGCCAAAGCTCCTTTGGTAGCATGGTTTCGATACTACTCTCCTCCAACGAGGTTAAATGTGTAATTTTATATAGTTGATTCATTTTTTTGTTATCCATGTTTAATATTAGTGTGGAATACTTCAAAGCATAACACACGATATAAAAATTAGAAATATAGAAAGCAAAATTGACTAGATTTTTTATTTTTCTTTCACATAATTCATATACTTATTTGTGATTTACTGTTGTACAACTTTTGTAGGGTGATTTTAAGATATTTGTTTTCTATCTTAGCTTTCCAGTGTTAATACAAATATGTTACAAGAATACTTCGTTACATGTATAATGTTTTTATTGTAAAAATTCTTATATGGTTAGAAGAATATTAATATGGTTAATATTGGTTGGCTTGAGCTATTCTAACTCTTTGTTGTTGGTTATTTTATCAAAAATTTGTTATATTTTTACGGAATTCGTATAATAACGAGATATTAAAGTTTTCATCTAATAAAATTGTAAATATTATTTATTAATGTTTTCAAATATTCTATCAGTCAAATCAAAAATATAATCTATTAAAACAGATAAAAATGATAGAGATAAAAAGAAAGTGATGGATATATAAACAAATCGTCTATCATAATCGTCTTTATACTAGTCCATCATACATTCATACAAACATATCTTCTATTTGTGTATATAGAATTTCTATTGTAAGTAGAGTTTTAATGACTTGTGAACTCATAATCATATAAACTAGTGGTATATATAGTGTTGGTTTATTTTGGTTTAGACCTAATTAATTTTATATAAATCCACAACTGCAATTTTTTTTGAATTAATGAAAATGAGATTAATTCCACACTCTCTCTAAGAACCTTTTGCATCACTTTATTCGTAGGAATTTTGCCGGATTCTTTGGTTTTGCTTCCGATTTCAGCTCTTTTGAATTTCTTAGCCCGGATTTTCTACTCTACTCGTTTTTATGTGTATCTCTGGCTACTCTTGAGGAGATATATTACTATGGTAATATTTTTTTAATGTGTTTAGTTCACTCATGGAGAATAGGGTTGTGGACAATATGAATTGCCGTAGTGTTAATAAAAAAGCATAGTGGATTTATTATTTAACAAAAAAATGTGTTTGTATGAATGTATTTATTATTTTATAATGATTTTTTCACATAATACATATACATTTATTTGTGTTTACTAATGTACAAATTTTGTTTTGTTTTGTTTGACATCATACTAATGTACAAGTTAAAGTCTCTGCTTTTTGTTATTATTTTATAAATGATTTTTTCACATAATACATATATTTATTAGTGTTTACTAATATCCCATCTTTTTGTTATTTTTTCATAGTCT